GTATAAAATGGGACGAAGCAACCATTTTGCGATTGATAGTCATAAGTTCTCTCGCAAAATGAGAGAGTCAATTGAAATCGAGAAGCACAATACTATAGATCAGGAGGGAAAGCCACTAGATAGTACGTGGCGTGCTCTCTTTAATGTGCAAAATTAATTTCTCTTGTCTTGGACACAGAATAGAAAATAAGACCAGAAGCCTCACTCAGCCAAAATTGTGTCCGAGATTTTTTATGCGCAGGCGCGAGCCAGCAAGTGTAATCCACGCATCAAACGCGAGCAATTACGCCATCAATTGCCATTACCAGGTAATAAAGATTGCTGTTTTAACCGTTTTGCTGACGAACGCTGACGTGATGTTCGCAGCAAGTGTCACACACGTCATCTAGCGTGCGAAATTCGTGATCCGCAAGGCGAAAATCGCGGACACGAAAATGTTAAGGAAAGGTGTACAGTGAGACTTCTGGTCGATTATATATTCTATGTCTTGGATGCGCGCGCGTTAATTGGAATCACTTCACTACGTTTGAAATGACGTGGTTGATATGCCGTTTAATTAAATTTCAAATGACGCAAGCCAACAGATCACGACACTCTTGTATATAAAAGAGCGTGTGAATTAAACAAGTCACATATTATTAGCACTGATGAAGATCCGGGCTTACGGATCGAAAGCTTTGCAGTAATAAATTTACGTGGTGTTTCCACAAACAAAAACAATTATATTTTTTGTCTGTTTTACACACAGGAAAATTAAACATGCGTCTATTCCTTAGTCCAATATAATCACATTATTTCACTCTCGGCATAAGAGATCCCAACGATCATTGCAACCGAAAAATTCATGGTCCCACGTGTGTTGTTTTCAAATATTGTGCATGTTTGGTACCATGTAATCTTGTTGCTTGTCACAGCGAAGCATAGAAAATGTTTTGTGTTCTTTTGAACAGTGCTAATCAAATAATAGACCTTAAATTTAAACGAAAACTGTGTCTGATCATAAGTTCACCTCATGTAGTAATAGAGTTTTCAATTTGATTAATGTTAAAATATTATTAGCACTGATGAAGATCCGGGCTTACGGATCGAAAGCTTTGCAGTAATAAATTTACGTGGTGTTTCCACAAACAAAACCATTATATTTTATCGCCATGCAAACATACAAAGAACTTATTGATTAATGTTAGTTTAGTTTAGTTTAGTTCTCAAACGAGAACAAGCGTTCTCGTTTGAGTCAACAAGAGTTAACTCTCACCAAAATTTGAACCAGCTCAAACTGGTTGATTTTCATCATCGAGAATTGGCGGTCAAACGATCGTTCACTCTAATTTGGCGGGCACATACAAAATTGGCGGGTTCGTCTACTTTTCGTCTACGTTGCACTCTAATCCGAGGCTTAACACTTAACATTGAACCTCAACAGCTTCTGCAGCTTAGAACCGATAAATCTATCCAGTATAAATAGAAGCTCGATAATCTTCATTGTTTGTAGGTGAAGTGATATTGCCGCCACTCATTCCTCAATCAGACTTCGCCATACCGTTACCCTACGTACAATCACCGCTCTTCATCCGTCCACACGATAAAGACACGAGGTTCTCCACTTCACATTTACACTGGAAAGATGTGAGAGAAAATTTTGAAGATACTGGATATCTCATTGAGTGTCCTGCTACTAGTGCAAGAGCAGAAGACAACTACAGGTCAGGCTCAAACAAAAATGCAAAGCAGGAGAATTTTATATGTGTGGATACAACATCTCATTAATCAAAACTTAAAGATTATGTCCACTCCTGTGCACATGCGCGAACTTTGTTTACATTTTAAGCTGCTATATTTGTAAAATATGATATACTAGCTGAATATCTAACACTTTTCTGGTTCGCTTTACTTGTAAATGAATATAAACTATACGTTTCAGTTCAAAAAAGTTCGAAAGATGCAAAATTTGGGCAATGTTTGTATCTGGGGGTCCCCCTTTGTTTTGAGCAGAACTGATGCGCAGAACGGAGTGGACATCATCTTTAAAATCTTTTTTGGCATTTTTTCAAAATTAGTTTGTCTTAGCTTTATTTTGTACGTAGTTTACACAGTTAGCACGTTTTTTAAATGTATCTGGCGGTTGAGAAACACAAAATAATAGCTAAATATTGTCAATTTAAATACAATTATTATATATTGATGCTGTGTATTTGTATAGATAATCATGCGATGGCGAGTACAATTAGGGATTAATGGTACGAGTGATGTTTGGAAATTTTGCCAAAATTGAACGAGCCGCCGGGGCGTGTCCTATTAATCCCTAATTGTACGAGCAACATCGCATGATTACTTGTTTAGTATTAGCATGACAAAATTGGATACGTACTTCTCAATGTCAGCATCATATTCTCTCGCCAAAGCCCAGTTCTGCCAGACTTTCAACCAAAATTTGGTGCTTTTGTTTGCATTTTCATTTAGTTCTTTTGTTCAAGCAAAATTTGGTGCTTTTGTTCGTATTTTCATCTAGTTCCTTCACGGCAATTAGTTTACGAAATTTCATTTCACGCTTGTGTTTAAAATACCTTTCCGCCATTTTGTTTGTTTTGAGAAAATCATTAATTGTACTGCAGTACAATTAATGAAATAATTGTACTCCTCTCTACCAATCAGCATCCAGTAATTTTGTCATGCTAATAATACATACAGTAATATAATCAAAACTTACTGAAATTTAGACATCATTTTCTCTTTGACATACCATCTAAAATATCTTTAGCATGATTTTACAGATAAAGCAAAACATATTTTTTAAGTTTGTTTACCGCTTGAGAAGCGCATCAAAAATTTAAAAGTTGAGTATAGTCATAACCGGAAAAAATGGAAACATAAGTGGAAAAAGTATGTTGATTAGTTTTGAGCCCGTGTTACGTAACATCTCCTCTTAAACATTAATTTCTTTTCACTTTTCTTCATGGATTATTATTGACTCTTACAACTTCAGTTAATATTTTCCCTGTGTTTATCTAGATATTGTGTTTCGGTCCAAAGAGATGGCTTTCCTGCAGAAAATATCGCTGAGCAACCAGGCAATTATGACGTCACCCAACCCGCACACACCCTCACGATCCTGCCTCCCATAGTCCTGGTCAACCTGCTGCCTGTGGAATTATCTTACCGTATCCGCAAGCATTCACTGAGTGGAAACATTAAACCGGGAAGAGTATCGCCAGTGTATAAGGTAATGAAAGATGGACTTGAATAGACCTTTCCTCTTATGAGTGAAATTTTGATCTAGATATGCCTGGATAAAAATTTCATCACAGCTTGAAAGAGCATCACAAAATTAGTAATATTCCGAAGTTTCGTTGCGAAATGTTGTAAAATGCGGATAGTATAACCTTGCGAAGTTTGCCGTTTTTCAGTCATTTTTGCATTACAAACGGGAAATTGATAATCAGTTTGATCATCTGATTTTTGTCCAGACTTGTCTAGATCAAAATTTCACTCAAAAGGGGAAAGATCTATTGCTGCAATAGACATTTTTCACGCTTTGTGAGACACCACATATACAAAATGCAGAGGCTATATTTTCGGCACCCGTTTCCAAAATTACGCGTCTTGCTCGAAAATAATCTTAGTTCAAATTATGACAGTTTTATGTCACGCGAACTGCTAAAAATAACAAACGTAAACAAGAGACATTTATACCGTATTTAATACCTACAGACGAATATTGAACCAGAATTAGCTAGATAAACAGAAACAACAAGTTTGAAAAAGAACAATATAGCATCGAATTTGACTGTTTATCAAACCCGCTTGCGTTAGACTGTAGCGGTGATTTTGTTGTGCTTAAATTTGGCAATAATTATTACAAAATTACAACCATAAAACTCAAAGTTGTAAAAAAATTTAACTTCGTCACTGTGTAACAGAAAACTGACATGTCAATTCTAGCTATTTTCGACCTGGTCGCGTAATTTGGAAACGGCTTTAAAGACTGTGACACGATAACATCGAGCTATAGAGCTATCCAGTATAAAAAAAACTTTCCTTAGTTGAAGTCTGGTTTAGAATTGCAGAGATATGGGTTTTTGTGCAAGATTTTTCTAACCTCAAACAAAGGACGGTGCATTTGACGATTTAAGAAAATGCCCTTATCTCAAAGTTATTCTATATTTTGCTACAGGTCAACAGAGCATCGTCGCTCAATTTCACATTCTCGACAGAGAATTTTCCTCAGAGTGAAACCCTGCACATTCCAGAGCTGAGCAAGGGTGCAGAATCCTGTATACGTCATGTAGAGATGAAGGATACCAAGAACAGATTTTTAAGACTGAACGCTAAAATTGAATTGCGACCTGGACTGTCTTTGAAGGTAGGGTAAAGAAATGTCTTTCTCATCACCTGCCTTGCGTTACAAGAATGGAGGCAAGGAACAAACAAGATTACTTAGCAATAGACCTTTCTGGTAATTACATCACAACTACATTGTTTTCAACTTAGAACCACCTTAAATACGCTTAAATGGGATGGAATTCAAGCTTTTTTCTCACTTGGCTATGTGCAAAGAAGCACTCACATTTATTGGTCAAAACATTTGTATGTGTTGAAGAAGGATGCTCTGCTTCTTTGCGCATAGCCAGTGAGCAAAAAAAACTTGAAATCCATTCCATTTAAGGTGCTCCTAAGTTGAAAACAATGTAGCTGTGACGTAATTACCGGAAAGATCTATTAAATAACTCACATGCCCAGTTACTATTGTTCTAGTGTAGGAAGAAAGCATAGTCTAAGAATAGGACAAAGGTATCTTAGCATTAGATAACTCACATGCCAAGCCTTAGTTTAATATCTTTGTGAATCAGAATCACATTTATTTCACACGTATTTAAACTAAGGATAGCATTCAGAAAAATTATATACTTACAAAACCAAAACCCACATATTAAAATTACTATATTAAACAAACGTGTACAGTGATCAAAGTAGCAAAATTCTTTCGAGTTGATCACTGTATATATGTATCATAATATATAAAAGTATATGACGGCGACATAACAGAACTGTGTACTAGGTATTTATGTTTGCGAATAAATAAGGAATTGCCTATACCTATTCTTCTTAAAAACAGAAACTGAATTCGACTTTTTTTATGGTAAGGAATTGTGGTTAACGAAAACGTGGAATAGAAGAAAGATATTCACTTTTTGTGAACAACACGTATAAAAAATTCCAAAGCTTATCTACTTTTTCTATTCTATGTTATCTTATGCTTGGTTACCTTTTGTTCTATATATACTTTCCTAAACTAATTGCCACGTAAACATGTATATTTCATTCATTTCTTTGAGTATGAAACTGTCAGTACTCGACAGTATCGTTTCTTTTTGTATGTTTCTCGATTGAATGTAGGCAAATTTCAATTTCAGATTTCCATATTTGCATCATTCTGGCTGGTGAATGACACAGGTATCCCACTCATATTTAAACAAGAAGGAACCTCACTGGAAATGGCGGGACAATTTGGTGAACATGAAATGGCGCGGAGTCTGACTCCCTTGTTATTTTCATTCGATGATAGAGATGGTTCGTTCAGGTAAAACGAACCTATTTATACTGGATGCATCAGTTCTAATTAGCCCTATTAGGTCCATTAAGGGTCATCCCTCAGTTGTCCAGTATTACTAATAGACCAATGTCTTTTTTAATTCGTTACACAAAGGTGTCAAATGCGTATTGGCAAAGGACAGCACAAAGACGTTGGGAAACCAGTTTGGTAAGAATAGTTCAAAATAAACTGCCGTTGTTGGTGTGTAGATTACCTCTGATCTATCATCACACCGTCCACCACAACACAGGCACAATTTACTGAATCCGTATAACTTCTAACAAGTTAGGGAGCCTGCATGGACAACGCTATTCCTATAGTCTAAAGGCTTCCTCCTAATTCTAGTGTCAAAATGTTTGAATTAAGAATTCAGGAGTCATTGCCCGTGTCATATATGCACCAGCTTGAGTTCTATTACATGAGCCATTCTCGACCCCAGGATACTAGTTTTGGTCGCCCTGATGGTCTCCAGACCCCCATACCCAGTCTAAGATTGCCTATCTAAGCCTTAGCTTGTCAATCTAAGATTGCCAACAGCCGCGGAAATATAATCTACAAATATGGAACACAGTAAAAATAGATTGAGTTCACTGACATGGATTCATCATCCCCATCGTGATTTATAAGATCAATGACTCAGCCATCCATCTTCGTGGGAAATAAGTATGCTCCCAACGTTAGTTCTATTATAATATTGCTGCGCATATTTTCTGTAGGTGTACCCCATTTTCATTGGAGTATCCGCGAGAGTTTACACGTGTTCACTCAAGACAACCTGACAGACGTCCTGACATGTAAGAATGTTTTCAAAAAATTGCATATTGATATTTGCAATTTTTGTCTACTTGTTTTTGGAATGAGCATAAGAACTCTCTACCAATCTTTGTAGGCTTGATAGCTCAACAGGTAGAGCATCTCTGTGGACTTGATATAGTTCAACAGGTTGAGTAGTGGACTAGATTCCTGAAGGTTGAGAGTTTAAATCTCGTGTACTTATCTTATAAAGGATAAGAACTCATCACCAATCTCTGTAGGCTTGATAGCTCAACAGGTAGGGCAGTGGTCTAGATTTCAGCAATGGATTTGATTCCTAAAGGTTGAAGGTTCAAATTATGTTTGTTTTTGTGGGATAAGAATTATTTATTTATAAACTAAACTACGTAAAACTAAATTAAACGGAACTATAAAATCAAACCAAACTAAACTATATTCACTAAAATAAACTAATTATTTAACCAACGTAAATTTCTAAATAAATATAAAATACCAACGGTGGAACTTTGTATTTCAGCGTGCAGGAAGAAAAGCCGAGCAAACGCTTAAAGAAACCTCACCGAAATGTAAATCGTTTAAAAACTGTGAGCCGCAAAGTACACTATGTGGTTGGGGGTGGCTGTTCTTTTCACATAGCCAGTGATGAAACTTCAGAAATTGAAAATGACCCAGGCATTAGTCTAACCACAGCTAAATCATGGTAAATTTTAAACTAACTTAAACTAAACTAAACTAAACTAAACTAAACTTATATATGAAGTTTTAAGTAGTGAAATTAAATTAAATTACTCTTAACTATGTTAAATGATAAAAATGATTTTATACGTCCTGAAACATTAAACAACACAATGAAAGAAAATTAATGATAAGCAACACAACTTTCAATTTTTACTTGGCAGTGTTAGTAGTAAAGTTAGCTTTCTTGTTTTTTTTTCTTTTTTTAAATTTATTTTTAAAAATTTTTTTAAACTTATTTTTTCCTTCATTCCATCCTTTCTCATTCTCATTTTTCCGACATTCTTTCTTCCATACACACATAAAAACGCAAGAACATATAACAAACTTGCAGCAAACGTGTGGCAAGAGCAGACTGTTTCAACAACTTGTCGCCAGGATCTGTTCGCACTGGTTGTTTCCGGCTTGTTGACAATTTGTTACAAGGTTGTTGACTCAACAGACTTGTTACAAGTTGATGACTCAACAGACTTGTTACAAGGTTGATGACTGAACAGACTTGTTACAAGGTTGATGACTCAACAGACTTGTTACAAGGTTTGATGACTTAACAGACTTGTTACAAGGTTGATGACTGAACATACTTGTTACAAATTGTTCCAATAACTTGTTATCGTTCTGCAATCCAACAACTTATTAACAAGTTGTGACAACCTTGTGGCAACTTACTAAAATCACAACATTGTTTATATTTTGGTGACCGAGTGGCTAGAAGCCTGCTTCGTGCAAATATTTTCTGATCATGAAAGCATGGTAGCCTATTGGTTAAGATATATATATTACATGAAAGACAAAAAGTTAAAAGAACGAACATTTCCAGCAACCAAAGTTGGTTGACAAGATGTGAGATTTTTACTTGTATAGTTTATCACTTTATTTCTTTACTTCCCTTCTATCTCTTCTTTCCTCTGTCTCTTTTTTACGTAGTTTTCTACCGAACTCCTTCACTCCACTTATGTCATAATATTCTTTATACTAGGGTCTATGATGTTGGTATAGACGTCAGATTTGGTCAAGGCCGTTTCCGAGACACAAGGATCGTCACATTCGCTCCTCGTTACCAGTTTGAAAATCGAAGTGCACATACCTTGGCTTTTCAACAGAGACATTTTGTAAGAGAACAGGTATTAAGAACAATCTTTTCTTTAGTTCAAATAGCTTAAATGGACCTTCTGCACACTTCGTAGCTCAACAGGTAGAGCAGTGGACATCCTTCCTTAAGGTTGGGACGGCTATTTCTACAAATCACGTAACACTATATATACCCCATGTGTTATTTAGGCCACAAGCAATCCTGATGGAACATTAACATCACTGCCTGGTGCTCAAGTCGTCTGGCATTGGGAAAGAACTGACCTTGATCAACTGTTGTGTATTAGGTAGGTTACTTTCAAACTCACTTTGGTGTATCATACAGATGTTATTACGTGTCATTTGACTTAGGACAACGCATGGGATAGAACAAAGCAACTTGAGCATTAGATAAGTTCTCGTAAGCATAAAATAGAATCAAGGTAATTGAATAATATGTTCATTCCTACAATTACATTTGTTTTGCTCCACGCCTCCGTAAACTGAACCAATTGTATAAATGTATATAATAGTATACAAGGCATAAAAGATAATTTTGGATATTGGGTTTTTAGACTGAATGATATTCCAGATTGTCGATGGTCAGGCGGATTTAAAATCGATCGTGATGATTCTTGTCATGTCAGTATGAGGTTAGTCTCGTCTATATATTTAATCTAACTCTATATTTATACTGGATAGCTCTATACATACTATTCTCAGGTCATGTGGGCTATTCCATTATTGAAAGACATACGCTCCCCTCCCCCTGCATCCAGGACAACAGTTTTACTATAACCCTGAATAATTCCTGTCGTAAAATAGATTCCCTAAGAATTCCTGTTAGCAGCATTTACTCCCTGAAGAAATCAGTATTTATCCCTGGGGCCGGTTGTTCAAAGCTGGATTAGCGCTAACCCTGGGTTAAAATTTAACCTGCTGTTGTAGTTTATGTATTTCTGCACGTCTGTTTATTTCAAAACTTCAGAGAAGAAAACTCCTACTGATCCAGATAATATTTCTGAAGAAATATTTTCAAATTTATAAACAAGCTGTCAGAAAGTTTGCTTAAAACTTTAGGTTAACGTAAGGGTTAAGCTAATCGACTTTCGAACAACCAGCCCCTGAAGAATAGCCCATGCACACTCGTTTTTTCTCTTTATTAACCACAATGCTATTTCATTCAAATTAAGGTGTTCGAATGGATCCCTACTCTTCATCAGAGCCGAAGTGATGTTAAAAGGAGCGGTGTTTCATATCGTCTTCACAGATGCAAGTCAACTCCCGCCACCATATCGTATTGATAACATGTCGGCGGTTCCAATTTTGTTTTATCAGAGTCGTACCGAGGATCATCAAAGATGTCTCCTTCAACCTAAACAATCAGGTCAATGTTCCAAACATATTTTAACCTGTCGGCCCTGCTCTTTCCTTTTATCTGTTTTTTTTTATTTTAAAGGGTAATGGCAATGTCTGTTTAGATCGAAAGAACTCGTTAACCGCTTATACGCTGCTGACGTCGTCTTATTTATACATATCAAATAAACTGAAATATCTCGAAAGATATAAAACATTTGACCTAAACATGTACTCGAGTTTTATAATACTTTTTGTTTGTGGAAACACCACGTAAATTTTTACTGCAAAGCTTTTGATCCGTATAAGCCCGGATCTTCATCAGTGCTAATAACATATTATTAATATTATTAGCACTGTTGAAGATCCGGGCTTACGGATCGAAAACTTTGCAGTAATTAATAAATTTACGTATTCCACAAACAAAAAGTATTATATGTTTTATCGCCATTCGAGTTTTGTTGCCAATATCCTTTAAGTGCTTTTATGGTCAAGAGCACTTTGTCGCGTAGGTGCGATGAAAAATGTTCAAAACCTGAAATCAAAATTTGAAGAGTCTAATCCAATCTCATCCCCTTATCGTTTCAATTCCTTACCAACTCCATCATTTTTTTCCATATCTATAAAATTCCTTATTCAATTTTCCTTTCTTTAGTGCCTTATGCCTGGGACGAGCCAACATTACCACGTCAACTGACCTGCGGTATCGTAAACGATGGATCATTTATTCATTTCTCTATGGACAAATTGGGAGAGAAAGAAAAACTGTATTACTACAACGCAATATACATTGCATTCACCCATACTTTCACCAAGTACGAACAGTGTTTCACTCTAATACTCTGACATTAGGGACCGGTCATTATTTATGGGGGGGGGGGGGTGGCACCGAAGAGAAATGTTTTCCGTGTCAAAAATTTTGCTGACCCAACCATTAAAAAAGACAAAAATTTGATTGCCCAACCTGAAATATCAACCCCTGGCCAAAAACTTAACAAAAGGACACCATTCAGTTGTCATACATGTCCTTTATCACTTCAGTGACATGAGTTTGATAACGGCTTGTGAAATTTTCTTCAGTCTAAAGTTTCACGTTGTCTGCACATGTACTTTCTTTGGAAACACAATTTGTTTTGTCAAACTATGGTCAAGATAGTGACTCTGATTGATTCACATATTGTATTGACAAATGACTGTTGACAATGCTTTTCAGTCTCCAATATTTCAGTGGGTCATGCTTTGGAAATGACAATAAATTTTTATTACCCAACCCTTGAGTTGTTTTGTTTTTCATTTACCCAACCTTTTACTCACTCAAAATTTTGTTTACCCAACCCTTTTCTCTTCGGTGCCACCCCCCGCCATAAATAATCACCGGTCCCTTATTAGCTGTATCTGTTAAGCCCCAGTCAAACGAGGAAGAGAGTGAGAGATTAGAAGCGAGAATTTGCATGAACGTTTTCTCAACTCCCATTTCGCGGTCAAATGAGAACAAGAGTTCGAGTTGATGCGAGTTGACTGGATATAACCAGTGGAACGAACAAAAACTCATCAAAATCTGACCCAACAAAATCTGACCCAGCCGAAAGTTTGATGAGATTCTATGAGAGTTTGCGGCCAAACACGAGCGAGAGTTGGAACTCTCATCATTGAGTCATCAACTCTCATTCTCATTTGATCTTTAGGAAGTCATAATTTCGATACCATAATCTGAGCTGTGTGAGTTAATCAGGTTTTTACTTACAGATCTGACGGCACTGTATCGGGGTCATTCCAGATGAAATCTGTGAATGTTTCGAACGCGTATTCAAAAGAATTAGTGTTGGATGTCCCTCAAGGAACAGCTGTGATTCTTAGCAAAAAGGTAATTATGGATTGGAAGATAATACAATTTAGTAGGAAATGGCAGAGATAAACAGTGTCCATTCAGGAAATTGGAAGGATATTTTAAAATTGCTGTAATTTCTAGTTAGTGTAAATTTTAAGTTAATTTAACAACATGTATCTGTGACTTTATTTAAAGAATCTTCGATAGTCTTTCGAGTCTTGACAAACTGACAAAGTGTAAGTAAAGGAACAGTTTGTCGCGACTTAAATCCTGGCAAATACAGTATTACGCAAAGTGAAAGTCGTCACGGCATTATTCGCCAGTGTTTTGAATTCCTTTGTGAGTGCTAAGTACGTGAACTTTATCTTAAACAGCGATTCTCAAAGATTTAAAGACTATTTTGTTGCCACCATTTGTTACCTTGTAACTGCCAATATTGGCAGACAATGTTTTTTTTTTGCTATTCGATGCATCTTAAGGCTCTTTTCTAGCGAGTATTTGCATCTAATTAAAATAAACTGTCGATCATTGTGATTGAGTGAAAGCGCTCGCAGCGGGCTTGCGAGTTTACTCTTGCGATGATGCGGAAAAGAGGCTTTATCTTCTTTGTGGTCCGATTTTTTCTCAATTTCTCTACTCTCAGGAACCATACAAGCGTACTCAACTGTGGAGAATGACATCATCTGGAATTTTATTCAACGAGGGGTCGGCACCTCCGTTTGATCCTCGGAAACCGTCGTCGTCAAGCGCCGGCTTCGTGTTGGATGTCGGTCAGGCCGATCCCACGACGTTGGTGAGAAATCGTAGACCTTTACAACTGATTGTCAGTAAACTGAGCTCGCAGAGGAAAGCTTATCAAACCTGGTCCTTTACTGAGGTGAGTTTTCAATACTTGATTGATTAGTAACAATTGATTGACTGATTGATCAGTAACGACTAACAATGATTGATGAATTAATAATAATTGGACTGATTGTTGGTATAGTTAATGGTTGATACGATAATACGATAATAAGTTGATTGTTAATGAATGATTGATTGACTTTGTCTAATCTATTAATTAATTGGTTGATAGTGATTGATCGGTTGATTGGTAATGGCTGATTGATTGGTAATCGTTGATTGATTGATTGATTGATTGATTGATTGATAATCATTGATTGATTAATTGTTTGATTGATTGATTGATTGATTGATTGATTGATTGATTGATTGATTAGCTGATTAATTTATTGATTGATTAATTGGTAATGATTGATTGGCAATAATAATTAACTGATTAATTTATTGATTGGTGGATTAACAATGACTCATTAATTGATTGGTGATAATTGATACTGATTGATTAATGAATTAGTGATTGACGGAATAGCTGATTGATTACTTATTAAACAATTAAACTTATTAAACAATTAAATGATTGAATTTATTATTTCGGTTTTTAGGATGGCAGAATGAGAAACCAACTTGCAGAATATTTTGTCAGTTCTAAACCTGGTCTGGGCTTGTATCAAGGTGAGATGCTGATAGTGTGTGGAGGTGTCCAGTGTTCAATATAACAGTCGGCATTCGGCCATTTCCCGAGCAAAACACCAACATGGCGTCCACGGACATTATTTTGCCACATTTAATAATGTTAATAATTTCTCCATTATTGCAAAACCAAAAAGTAATCTCTTATTAATCTGTTCCAAATACAAAGGAAGTAATTTCTTATATTTCTAATATACAATATTTACCCTGGAACTTTAGTTCCTTCTTGTAGTAACACTGAAAAATGAAGAGTAGCTCTGGTATATAGTTATCCAGTATAAAGTTAGTTTAGTCTAGATTTTGATGACATTGATGGTAGTTATTAAAAAAATTCTTTCTTTCATTTCTTTATACAGGTGTGGATGCGTTACTTTGCTGTTCATCCAAACCGTCATCTTCAGACATCGTCCCTAAAGAGCAACAAATAAATGTGAAAAAGTTGCGGCCTGGTTCTGGAATGCTATTGGTTAAAGTACTTGCCGATGGACCAACCAGAGCGTTGCGAATTTCTGACGTCAGACAACAAGTATAGTATTGTTTGTTATATACGAAATTCCAGGAGGAGATTGTTGCATATTTTTATTTATTTATTTATTTAGAATAATAAAAAAAACAGCTGCAAAAGGACACTTGGTCCCGTACAATGTAATACACCTAATTGACAAGACAATAAAAATATTAACTCGAAATGAGAAATATAAGGACATTGACGTTTTCAAGCGAGATTTAGTCTTTCAACATAAACTGCTTTAACTGTTTTTTGAAAGTAGAAATTTGTTCAGTCTAAATGTGGACTATTCTATTGAAATAAGAGTCGCGATAAAAAGTGATGTATATCAAATTATTTGATACTGTAGGAGCACGGACTCTTATTTAGACTTCCAAAAGTTGTAAAAAGTGTTCAACCTTTCTCCGTGTAAAATTTCAAATTTTCATCAAACCTTTTACAAATTGCGGAAGATATAAATGATGTCATTCATGATGTTGTTTGTATTACCTGTATACCCACATACAGACAAGCAGTACAGGCTGGCGACTGCAAACAGATGTATACTGTATTTTACGATTGCTACAGAAATACCAATCCCCATAAAGCTGCTATTGTCAGCCACCAGCGTTAGGGAATGTTGTACTACACAACTGCCAGCACAACATAAACGGTGTTAGTGTTGAGTATTCCACATTAAACCTTCCTAACTGACCCCAGATAGGGTAAACTTTCCTCGCGGGTGGTACCCTCGTACACCTGCAGCTTTTTTGCAACTCTGCCAAAAAGATTTAATTATTCTCAATATCTGTTCTCGAACAAAATGCCTTTGTTGAAATCCCAATGTATGTATGTGCACTTCCATTTTCAAACTGGTCTCTGTTTTCTGATTTTACCAGGCTGAAGAAGAACCATTCACGAAGGATTGGATGGTCATTGAGAGACGCGGAGGCTTGAGGCAGACTACAGTCACGTCAGGGAATACAAATGATCAAAACAACAAGCGTACTGAGGTTCAGATGAGACTTGCGGGAGGAATAGGGATATCATTGATAAATGGGGTTCCCGAGGAACTTGTGTTTGCTACCTTTAATCCCATCGAGGTGAGTGCCATGATCGGATGTACGGGGCAGTTGAGAGATCGAAAACTTATAAACAAGCTTTCGTTAGTAGGGGATACAACTACCTGAAAAGAACTTCCCACAACCTACCCCAGTAGGTTATCTTTTACCAAATTAAAACTATTTTGCTTTTTCTTGTAGATGGACTATATTACAACGGCGTCTTCACGAACGCTTGAACTCAGTATCGGTAGTATTCAGGTGTGTAATATTGTGATTCCTGTTTATACGTTGTTATTTACAGAATTTTGTTAATTTGCAAAATATCACTAAGGCTACAATAAGCCGCCATGGTTTGTGTCGGAACTACACACGTAAAAACGCACAAGTTGTAACAAACCTGCAGCAGACTTGTAGCAATACTGCTCCAACAACTTGTCAACAGGATGCATGTTCGCACTGCTTGTTCCCAGCTTGTTGATAAGTTGTCAACGGCTTGTTGACAACTTGCTACAAATGTAATCGTCCTGCGACATAAAACGCAACTTGATAAAATAACATTGTTACAACTTGTTGACAAGCTTGCTACAGGCCTGTTGTGAACACATCTTGTTGACAAGTTCAGGCTGTGATATTTTTACGTGCGTACTGTTTGTGCCCGAAAGATATCCCGAAAGACGGAATCTGAACTACTTTGGAAAATATTTGTCAATATGGGTATCCAGTGTAGATAGTATTCTACAATAAGTGGTCATGGTTTGTGTCTGAACTGCCTGAAAAATATTACCAGCCTCTCGTTCAGTCGATAACCGTTTATCATTTGTTTGTGAAATTGTCTTTTCTTCTTCAGATTGATGACCAACTACATCTGACTCAATACCCAGTCATGTTGTTTGTAACTCCGTCATCCAAAGAAGATTGTAGTGTCAATGAACCCGCCATTCGTATCTCGTCTGCTAACGAACCAACAAAACTTCAAAACTGTGAAATATTTAAGGTAGGAAAGTAGGAAACTTTCAGGGAATCGTGAAATACGTTTTGGACGATACATAATTAATGGTTTGAGTTAAATGGATTACGTTTATGAACTTTTTCCAGAATCTGAATGTATCGCTACGAAAGTTGACACTCCAAGTGGACGAAAGACTGCTATTCAAACTTCTTCAGTTCTTTGGATGGGTTTATAATGATGATGACGTCACTGTGAATCAAGATTCAGAAAATTTGGGCATTGAAACACACAGGTATAATTTGCTACTTTGGTAATATTTGTATCGGTTTTGTCGAAAGAGGGTTTGGAAAATATCAAGGTAATAAAATTGCTTTCTTGTTGGGTTATTCTGTTAAATATCTTCCATACGTGTTTCTTTGGCATAAAATTAGTAAAGAATTTTTGTTATGATTAAACAAACTGCATTATGTAAAGGCTGGTTAATACTATTAAACAGAGATCACAGTAATTTGGCTTAGAGAAAAAGATTTGGCTTCAAGAAATTTGGGGGGCGGAGGGAATTGACTCATTGTTTAACATAGACTTGCTCCAAATCTCTCTTTCATTGTCATATCGATCCACTATAGTGTACATTACATGACGTAGTACGGTGGGGCGGAGCGAGAAAGAGAGACTTGTCAACTTCGGAAAATCTCTGTTCAAAACTCAACCGAAAATGCAAGACTTGCTTTAATTGTTTTCCTTAAATTTCTTTCTTTATCATTTACTATAATGGAATTCATGTTATTTACATGTGCTAGATCAATACATATAAACACTGGCAGAAAAGAATTAAAGCAAGTCTTGCATTTTCGGTTCAGTTTTGAACCGAGATTTTCCGAAGTTGACAAGTCTCTCTTTCTCGCTCGGCCCCTCCGTACTACGTCATGTAATGTACACTATAGTGGACAGATACTATATGACAATGAAAGAGAGACGTGGAGCAAGTCTATGTTTAACACTGTGTCAGTCCCCTCGGACGTTTTTTGTCCCCTTAGAGTTTACCCATGCAAAATTCTTACTGTGATCGCAGAACATTTGATAGTGTCTACCAGCGTTTTAAGGAGTGTGATTGTGTCAGTGTTTAGGTCTGTTAATCACCGGTTTCCTAGAATGCTCTATTTTTTCTAGAACTCCATCCTCAGTGTCACCTTCAAGTCTCAAGCGTTATTATTTTGAGAAGTTTCTTTTCAATGCTGTTCAACTTCGTGTGTCTGTTGCCACGGTAACAAGACTACCCGAGGATTTGAAACAGATCAAGTCATCGATGGGTTTGATTTTGGTTCGCTTACAGGGAGCTGTAGTCGACCTTGGTAAGTTGGAAATCTTTAACGTTATTTGTTCAGTGTTACTTCAGGAATACACTAAACGCAACCGAACCGAACTGAACTAGATAACCTTTTTCAGTTCTAAACTGTTCTTCTTAGACAGGGTTCGTAGCGGTCTTTGAAATCCTTGAAAGTCTTTAAATTTGAATGCAGGTCTTTAAGGTCTTTGAAAAGTCTTTGAATTGTGTGAAAAAGCGAAGAAAGTCTTTAAAAGTCTTTAAATTCTTTAGTGATTATTTGATTATACGATTTCCTAGCTAATAAAATAGATTGATTGAAGCAAGATTTTCGCAAATATCGACGAAAAAGTGCATTTTAGGATGTGATTTGACGGGACTAATTACCGGGTAAAAATGGTGCTTATACATCGCAAGTTTTCGACACCTGATTGCTCTCAAAGGTCTTTGAAAAGTCTTTGACAATAGGCCGAAAAATCTTTAAAAGTCTTTGATTTTTTTTTGGTCTTGGAGACTACGAACCCTGTTAGAAGTCCAGTAAGGATCATTCCTAATTATACCTGGTGTTTTATTACAAGAGGAATCCAGATTACGGTCAGACCTTAAAATATCGGGCAGAGAACCGTCTCACAAAATGTTTACAAACTGTGAGTTTGGGTCGGACATATATGTATTGTGATGTGTGATGGAGGTTCGATGACTTTGTGTTTAGTTTGGCTTGGAAAAAAGTATGAATGCAGGCAGAAATTAGTATCAGCACAATTTGGAATAGTCATTTGAATCTTGACAATGAATTTCTGAACCCCACGGTGAAAACCCCGCACTTGATTACACATTTCTAGTTTATTTTGTATGCATTACTCTGATTCTCTATTTAACATACGAGCCTCTAGTCATGGATTAGGGTACATTTGGATTTACGTTGGACAAAGTTACAGTTGGGTCGGACACCAACACACTCGGGTCGGACAAACAAACCTCAGTTTCACTTGATTCGGACAGAATGTTACGATCCAGTGGATGGATCGGACACACTGATCTACTATTAGATCAGTGGTCGGACAGTGTTCTTTACCGATCGATATCTTAAGGCCTGTCACTAAGGCAAATTATTATTATGTTACTATGTTGATTTTCAGAGTCATTTTCACGAACCCATGCATTTGATACAAGAACTGCATTTCTTGATGCGCTGTCGAAACATTATTCTGAGGTAAGATTTCATGATAAATGCTGTTTGATTATCAGATACGTCTTGTGATAAATACATGTGATAGATTGATTTATGGTGTTGTCACTAACCACAAATCCAATTTTTAATACGTCTAATATTTGAGTCATTTTAAGAAGAAATGTTAGATGTCCTGACCCTGAAATCTTCATCAAGACGAATCTTTTACAATATTTTACATTTAGAGTGACCCAAATATTACACGTACCAAGAAACGTTCTTGGGGCTAGTGGCCCTCCCATCGAATGCAAATTTCTATATGCATGTGTATCTTATTTCCAGGAATTACGAGGCCAAGCTCCTTTCATTCTAGCCTCAGTTGATTTTCTCGGAAACCCCATGGGATTGTTTAACGACGTATCTAGTGGTCTTGAGGGGTTGGTACGACGCGGGAATGTCGGTGGTTTGTTTCTCAATGTCGCTCATGGCTTGTCTGACTCTGCGGCCAAGGTAACGACTTGAAATAAATGTTTTAATAGACAATTCCCATTATAGACTAATTTTAAAACTAGGCAAGGAGATGCAAATAAATCACCCTAGCTAGAAAGAGCATACTAAAATTCGTAAAATGACAAAATTTGGTTGCGAAATGTTGTAAAATGTGGAAAATATAGCCTTGCAAAGTTTGCAAATTTTGTATACTTTTGTATTGCGTGCGACATTTTCGGCCTAAATGTGGTAGGAAGGTGGTAGGAATTTCCGCAAGCAATACGAAAGTATACAAAATTTGCGAACTTTGCAAGGCTATATTTTCCTCATTTTACAACATTTCGCAACCAAACTTTGTTATTTTACTAATTGTAGTATGCTCTTTCTAGCTGTGGTGATTTATTTGAGTTTCCTTGCCTAGTTTTAAAATTAGTCTATAATGGGAATTGCCTATTTCTTTTGGGCGGTTAGTTAGTAAGCCTGGTTTCCATTGGTCTCCATATTGTCGTAATGGTCGTAAAAATCATAGATATCTTATATACACCAGATAGCGCATCTTTTTTAGTAAAATTGAAACCAAGAATATTCCAGCGGTTACCCCCATTTGAATAGATGGCGGCCATGTTGGAGTTTCCCACTCGCTAATAAACGCTTAAAAAACAACAATAACTTTCATTGTTTGAATAGTTTGAAAACGTATTTGGAATAGGTTTAACTTAATGTTTAAGTTCCCTGTTTAAGAAATAGAAAACATACGTGTCTTCTCATTTCATGGGAATATCCTGAGTCTGCAATCACGGCTTCAATTTTTGAATTGCAGTATAACTAGATGCACTATATCTAGTGTATAAGATATATATGGTAAAAATAGGGTCACAACCTTTCTCAACGGCCAGTTTATAATAGCTATTTATACCTGTAAACCACATATAAATCGTAAGTATTCTCTAGAAATAATCACTCCATGTATTCTCAGTTCTAAAATGTTGTATTTCGGCTGATGAGAAAGATCGTGACTCAATCTTTACGACCGTTATGAGCATAGATATCTTATATACACTAGATAGTGCATCTAATGATTTTGTAATTCAAAAATAGAAGCAGTGATTGCAGTCTCAGATCGTTCCCATGAAATGAAAATATTCGTACTTTTCTATTTCTTAAACAGGGAACTTAAACATTAAGTTAACCCTATTCCAGATACATTTTTAAACTATTCAAATTATGAAAGTTATTGTTGTTTTTAAACGTTTATTAGCAAGTGGGAACGACCAACATGGCCGCCTTCTATTCAAATGGGGGTAACCGCTGGAATACTCTTGGCTTCAATTTTACTAAAAGAGATGCGCAATCTAGTGTATATAAGATATCTATGGTTATGACCATATGGAAACCAGGCTGTAAGTTAGAGTTATAAACCGAGAAGGAGGTTTATAACTGATATATTGCCCCCGTGGACGCGCAGCGTCCGAGGGCAATATATCAGTTATAAACCTCCTTCTCGGTTTATAACTAACTTATATCACATTTGTGGAGGTTTTCTAACATATTTGGTCATTTTCAAAAATTTTTGATGAAAAATTCTCGCGTTTTGTCGAAAAGTTTGATGTAATTATTTATCGGACGATCAAAGAAAACCGACACAAATGTGATAAAATGAGTTTTATAGTCGGTTCCAGATCGCTTTTCAAAGCGCAGTTTCCAAGTTCGTTGAGAATATTCCCAAATACGTTTCTAAATTTGGAATATTATTGGTCATGGAAGTTGCAAAGACAACTTCGTAAGTTGCTTAATAAAGTACCGAAGTACAGAAGTAAATAAAGACAGTGAACTAGCGATTTCCTCTTTCTGATGGATGCAAATGAGTGGATGCGGGCTCGCACACGGGGGTATAGAATGGCTCTTCGAAAGTCTAATATCAAAATTTTTGTGGCATCTCACTCGGATGAATAATATTTGATGGATATTGTAGATGGAAATTGTTGGATGGAAATTTGTATATATTTATTAACGAGGAACAGAAGTCAGCAGTGTGACCAGATTTTTTCAGGAGTCATTACCAAAATTTTGTTCAAATTTTACTAAATTAAGAAAAATTTTACCAAATGTCGGCTTCCCAAATAATTACTTCATGATAATGCCAAAAAACAATAGTTACGTCATCAAAGTAGAAAAAATATTCACAAAAAGTGTCTCGAAATACTTGTTGCTTTCATCGTATTGCAGTTTTTGCTAATGATAAGGCTTTATTTCTTAAGCTTGGCAGTTTTGTTCATCACTTTGAGCACGTTATTAAACAAGAAACACACATTTTTACCAACTATTTCTAATAATTCAAACCTTTCAGATTTTACCAAAATTTTACCAAAAGAAACTCGTTACCAAATTTTCTTGAAAATTCACGAAATTTTACCAAAAGTAAAACTTTTTACCAAATCTGGTCACACTGCAGAAGTGAAAAATACAACTTTAGGTCGCCCTATACGCAGAATGGTTTCAATTTTCTGTGAAGTTTTTCAGTTCTTCAAGGCCTTTGGAAAGGCCGCAAAAATTTTATGTTTAAGTATTTAAAAACAGTATTTTGATTCCGTTCGTCGCTGGAGTTGTCTGATTTTTGAATTTGCCTTTTATTGAAGATAAAATGATGCAATTATTACGGGAGTGATAATGTGACAAACATTCTAATCTAATCTAGTAGTCTTGATAACTTTTTTCAGACCTAATATTTAAAATATCTGCCATCCGCATTGGAATGTAATTGAAGTATTTTTGATAAAATCTAAAATATATTGTGTCAAAGAAAACATTTGGTCGAGTCTGAGCATGCGTCGAAAATATTTGTGTGGGCAACCTCGGTCCCAGGACCCAGGGTCTTGGAACGAGGTTGTTGTGTAGACAAACAAAATCCGGTATTATTTTAGTTTGCTGTAAGGTTTGGTCGTCAAAGACTGGAAAGTAGCAACGTGGTTGGGCAATATTTTAATGGAATGTAAAAATTTCGAAACTTCCGGAATTTTCAATTTGTGGACAAGCTCGAGAGATCGTCCGAAATTGTCAGAAACATCATTCCAGTAATTAACGTGTTCCATTTGATTTTTAAGCAAGATTTTCGGAATTTCTGTCAAATGGGAAGCGCCCTAGGTCGCCCTATACGCACAGGGCCGCCGAGAGGTTGGCGGTGGCCCGGGGCAAATTTTTTTTTAGGGGCCCCTATTTAAAAATTTTTTCCGGAAAAAAATTTTTTGGAGAACAACCTCCTGGGGCCCAACAAAAATTTTTCAGGGGCCCCCAGCACCTTGGGGCCCGGGCAATTCCTGCCCCCCCCCCCTCTCTGCGGCCATGGGGAGTGGTAATGTGACAAACATTCTAGTCTAATCTAGTAATCTTTTTTCAGATCTAATATTTAAAATATCTCTGCCATCCGCATTAGAATGTAATTGAAATATTTTTGATAAAATCTGAAATATATTGTGTCAAAGATAACATTTGGTCGAGTCTGGGCATGCGTCGAAAATATTTTTTGTGGGGTGCACAAACTGAAATCCGGTATTATTTTAGTTTGCAATAAGGTTTGCTTTACGGTGGGATTAGGGTTTATGTTATCAGGATTGGGCTTAGGTGCAGAATAAATTGGGTTAGACGTGCAACGAGGGATCAGTTAGTTAGCTAGTTAATCAGTTAGTTATTCACTAAGTTGGTTGGTTACCCAGTTCAGTGATCAGTAAGTTAGTTAGCCTTTCTCACGAGGGCCAATGGGGTATGCTGTCTACCCTCGTGAAAGATTCGAGACAACTCAATGTGAAAACTGAAAATAATTTACCATTATACAAAGAAATTCAAAGTTAAAGTTTATGTAAATCAAGGGAAATTTCTATCACATATAAAGATACGACACGCTTATGATTTTTCTTTGTGTTTTCCTCATGAATGAAACGTCTTGATGAGAACTATTAATGAAACGTCTTGATGAGAACATTCGTATTCTTCAACAATTTAAAATAAATAAATCAAATTTGTGAGAAAATTAACTTAGTAAAGGCCCTGTCACACTATTGCGTATGAGAGAAACGTATGAGAAGCGTATGAAAATTAATGAAATAATTTTCATACGCACAAAAATCCTTTGAAATGCCAGCGTATGAGTACCGTACATCTGGCGTACCTCTAGTGTATTCAGCGTGTGACTAGAGAATGCTTATGGTTAAAGCATACGTCCAATACGCACAAAATTTTTGAACATGCTTAAAAAAAAATTTCTGCCTCGCCGTATGCCAGCGTATGCCACCGTACGCGACCGTGCTTGAAACGTATACAACCTATGCCTAACGTACCCCTAGCGTATGTCAGCGTATACCGGCGTATGAGTGATATTTTTCATACGCTGGCATACGCTAGTACGATACGCAATAGTGTGACAGGGCCTTTAATGTTTATGTAAATCAGCATGATTTTGCATCAGATATACAAACTCCTTCGTGCCACATGGTTTCTTTTGTGTTTCCGTCATGAATTATTAATACTGAAGTTTCACTTTATTTTTCGCATCCAGCTTACTGGTTCACTATCAGATGGCTTGTGGTCAGCCAGCTCAGATTCAAAGTCCTTGGAAAGTCGTGAAGCAATGAAGGCGGAACGTCAACATCAGAGTAGTGGAGATCACCTCGTGGCTGGGTTCAAAGGATTAGGAATGGGTCTAGTGGGAGGCCTTACTAGTATAGTCACTCAGCCCATTGAAGGAGCCAGCGAAAAAGGAGTCCCCGTGAGTACTTTCTCCTTTGAGGGATTGCATTGTATTTCTGAAAAAAATATTTCAACAAAGCTATAGTATAAAATTAAACTGTGCTTCCTAGAAATGCAGTTACAGGTAAGCTTAACTACGTCAAGCGTTCCTCTTTTGAATTCCTAACTTGATTGCAATTTTCAGTACAAATTATCTTTGCAAATGTGAAAAACTCTCTTGCAAATAGGCAACTTGCATGTTAGACAAATTTTTATCTAGGCAAAAAGTAAATTCGCGTAAAGAACCTATGAAAAGTAGTAAAATTGCAAAATTTGGTTACGAAATGTTGTAAAATACGGAAAATATAGCCTTGCGAAGTTTGCATTTTTTGTATATGTTTGTATTACGTGCGGAAATTGTTACCATTTTTGAGCCGAAAATGGTACGTAATACAAACATATACAAAATTTGCAAACTTTGCAAGGCTATATTTTCCAAGCTTTACAACATTTCGCAACCAAATTTTGCAATTTTGTGTTCTTTTTAGCTGTGGTGTTTGATTCCCTTCTCTCTACTTAGATTAAAGTTTAGTCTAACATTCAAATTGTCCATTTTCATTAGAAATTATACCTTTGCAAATTTGAAAAATTTTCTTGCAAATTGCTTGAGAGAATTTGCAATGTTTCTGTAGGTTGTTGTAGTATTCTAATGCAGAGAAACGTATTATACTATATTTCATAGAAGAAATGCGATACAAATTTTATATTTTCTTCTCCTAGGGTTTCATTCAAGGCATTGGCAAAGGAATTCTGGGAACGTTTGCGAAGCCAACAGCTGGTGTCCTGGACCTCGCCTCAGGCCTCTCAGCTGCCGTACGTGGTTCGGCCACACGAAGTTCGCGCTTATACCAACCTAAACGTGTTCGCTCGATCAGAAACTGTTTTGGTCCTGGAGGAGCTATCCCGAGGTTTTCGAAGACAAATTCCGAAGGACAATCTATCGTTTTGAAATTAAATGCCAATAATATGGACGAAAAGTACGTGAAAGAGCGGTCATTCATTTAGGGGACCGGTCAATATTTATGGCGGGGGGGGGGGGAAGAGAAAAGGGTTGGGTAAACAAAATTTTGAGTGAGTAAAGTATGGCTATTACATTTAATACCCAACCCCCTTCCCTGTCGAGGACTTCAATTTCCAAGGAGGGTAATTAGTCATTTCTCCAAACGGGTAATTGGAAAAAATGGGAGGAAAATGCTGTTTCCAGAGAGGTTAAAATGTAAGGAGGGGGTTACTTTCAGAGGGGGTTCAAGTCTCTTCCATAGGGGTCAGTTACACATTTTCTTACTTCCCAGAGCGGTAAAAATCCCCAAAAGCGGAGGTCCTCGACAGGAGGGTTTGGTTGTCAAGTCGTTGTTAATTTAATTCCAATGTCCTCTTATGTTTCAGGTTTATTACATCAGAATCTGTTCGGACGGACATTGATGGCAGAGTGAAGGTTCTTCTCACTAACGAAAGAGTTTACTTTGTAAAAACGAGCGGAGTTCCCTCCCCTGAATCTATTCTCGTCTCTCTGAAGTTTGAAGATGTCGTTGACTGTCATCATTTGAAAAATGGTACGTTTTGTGAAAACTTGTAGTCATGAGTTGTATTTTGTGTGTTATCAAGTAGTTTCTTTCTACTTGCCTGTTGCGGACATCAATCTAATATTCCTGGGCCGTATACAGGATTATTTCAACAAGGGGGCAGTAATACCTATATGCTGAAACAAGTACCCAAATGCCATTCAGAGCCACGTCAGTTAGATGCATGCTTATGACCGCCCCATACAGAATCATACATAAATCATTCTGATTCACAAGATTACAAGCCCCATTTGGCTTAATAATTGATACTAACATTATAAGAAAAGTTAGTTAAAATTTTCTTGGGGGACAGAGCCCAAATACCAAGACATCGCTCGTATATAAGTAATTTAATCGCTAACGTTCTATTTTATCTATCTTTCAAGGAACTGTTGATTACGTGGAATTATCGAGAAAATATTCTGAGCCGCCAGTCAGAGTTCGCTGTGAAGCCGCTTCAGCACAAAAAGTAAGTTTATCTCTCATCATTGGAATTCATTGGTCCACTGTTACTGCCCTAACCAGCTAATCAAATGGACCCTTCCTAATTTTGAATTCTTAATGTTATTATATGAATATACATATCGAATATCGTGTTCAGTTTATTTTTGTAGTCTCGTATAGTTTAGTTTTAAGGATAGAAAGAGAAAAGGACAATTTGATATCACAATTTATACTGCGTGCATGGTTATATACGTGCGTGTGTTAATTGGAAGTTTATATGAAATGTATTTTGTTTCTTTGTATAGCTTGTTCAAAAGATAAACTACGCGAAAGGTCTCTTCGAAGAAGTCAAACACACCGTCATTGTCAAATCAAAAACAAGCGTCACGTGACAGGTAAAGGCTTCTTCGTATACACACGCAAAAATGTCACATCTTGTGACAAAGTTTGTCAACAAGCCGTCAACAAGTTGTCTTCGCACTGCTTGTCACAAGTTTGGAACAAGCTGCTAACAATTTGTAACAACCTTGTTGATATTATCAGACTTGTTACAAGGTTGTTCCAACAAGTCCGATACAGTCATGATATAGCAGTATTGTTGCAACCTTGTGTCGTCAACCTTATAACATTCATGTTATATATCATGACTGTATCAGACCTGTTAGGACAACCTTGTGACAAGTCTGATAATGCCATCAAGCTTGTTACAAGTTGTTAACAGCTTGATCCAAACTTGTTACAACAACTGGGAACAAGCAGTGCGAACACAACTTGTTGACAGCTTGTGAACAGGTTTGTAACAACTTGTTTGCAGACCTGTAACAACTTATGCGTTTTTACGTGTGATACGCATGGACGTAAAAACGCACAACTTGTTACAGATCTGGAAACGATTTGTTACAAGTCTGCTCACAAGCTGTCGACAAGTTGTGTTCGCACCGCTTGTTACCAGTTGTTGTAACAAGTTTTGAACAAGCTGTTAACAACTTGGTACAAGCTTGATGGCATCAGACTTGTTACAAGGTTGCTCTAACAAGTCTGGCACAGCCATCATATAACAAGAATGTTACAAAGTTGACGACACAAGGTTGTAACAATATTGTCAACAGGTGACAAGTCTGATACTTGTTGACAGCTTGGGACAAGCAGTGCGAACACAACTTGTTGACGGCTTGTTGGCAGACATGCTACAAGATGTGAGATTTTTTTCGTGTTGTACCACGTACACACGTGAAAATATTACATCTTGTCGCACTGCTCGTTCCCAGTTGTTAACAAGTCTGATACAAATTGTTGTCATCTTGTAACATGGTGATGAGCCCAACACATTTGCAACAAGTTGTTCCAGCAAGTCTGATATTGTACATCAGGCTCGTGCAACTTGTTGCGAACACTCTGTATTACACACATAAAAACGCACAAGTTTTTACAGGTCTGCAAACAAGTTGTTACAAATCTGTTCACAAGCTGTCAACAAGTTGTCCTCGCACTGCTTGTTCCCAGTTGTTGTAACAAGTTTGGAACAAGCTGCTAACAACTTGTAACAAGCTTGATGGCATTATCAAACTTGTTACAACGTTGTTCTAACAAGTCTGATACAGTCGTGTTATAGCAAGAATGTTACAAGGTTGACGACACAAGGTTGTATCAGTATTGTTATATCATGATCGTATCAGACTTGTTGGAACAACATTGTAACAAGTCTGATAATATCAACAAGGTTGTTACAACTGACAACAAGTTGTTCCATACTTGTTGACAACTTGGGACATGCAGTGCGAACACAACTTGTTGACGGCTTGTTTGCGTGTTGTAGCACATTAGTCTTGTTGGAGCAACTTGTAGCAAGTCTGTTACTGTCATCAACCTTGTAAGAAGATTATAACAACTTGTTCCAGACTTGTCACAACAACTGGGAACAAGCAGTGCGAACAGATCCTGATATCGGCGCGACAACAACCTTGTTACAACTTGTTGGCAGATCTTTAACAACTTGCGTGTATGTTGAGAATGTGTTTCACTGTATGATATGATTGTGCGTCTATTCCAGGTGCCGACGTACAAAAAGGAATCAATATCGAGAAGAAACGAAAACAGGAAGTAAAACACGCAAGAAACAGAACGAAAACAGGAAGTAAAACACGCACTCACATCAAGTTTCAGAATGATCCAAATTGCGTGAAAAGAACTTTTGCCACAATTTGTAGTAGAGACGATGACCTGAATGGTCCAACTTTAAAAAAGAAGGGATAGTCCGTCAAGACAAACCAGGATGCGATTTATCATTGATTAGCTGCTGTAGACGTAAGATGTGTTCGCAACAGGTTTGTAGCAAGGTTGTCAACAAGTTGCAACAACGCTGTTAATTTATTAAGTTGCTACAATGTTGTCACTCACAACTTGTTGACAAATTGTTTATTTGCACGACGATAACAAGTTGTTGGTACAACACGTAACAAGTCTGTTGAGCTCAGCAACCTTGTAGCAAGTTGTCAACGAGCTGGGAACTGGAACAGTATTGTTACAAGTCTGCTGCACATTTGTTAATTGCATCCTGTAGGATCGAGTTAGTTTGTCTTGAAAGATATGATTTGTCCCAAGAACCTGTGCCAGTATAGATGGCTGTAGTTTGTCCAGATAGTTTGTCTTGATGGATCAAATGAAGTAAAAGTCGGGCCAATGGCACTAATTTGCCTGAAATGAAATTGCACATATTTATTGATTCGCACAAGAGGAAATAATTGACATAGTTATAATTTTTTTTATGCAAGTTACACCCAGTTTAATTAAAATCGTACAATTTATAATATAAAAATATTAACAGTTTATTAAATCGCCAAATTAATGTTGTTATGCGAATGAAAAATATATTTAAATCAATCGTGTTTTGTTGTCTTGTTAATGTAATTCATTATGCGTTGAATTCCTGCTTTATTAACTATCATCCATACTTGAAGAAGATATATATATATATATATATATATATATATATATATATATATATATATATATATATATATATATATATATATATATATATATATATATAAATCAATTTAAAAATCAGAGACTATGCAACTTCGACCATCAATTTATTAAAAAAACTAAAAATACTAAAATAAAAGCTTAAAAGTTAAAAACGTTTCGGCAGTTCTGCCTTCATAAACGGATAAACTGATGAAGGCAGAACTGCCGAAACGTTTTTAACTTTTAAGCTTTTATTTTAGTATTTTTAGTTTTTTTAATAAATTGATGGTCGAAGTTGCATAGTCTCTGATTTTTAAATTGATTTTTATATATATATATACGACAGGACTTGCTGTGAATCCTATTTGGATCCTTCGCCCTCGAGGAGACTTCGTTTGGCTTGCCAAACCTACTATCAAAGCTTATATATATATATATATATATATATATATATTTTAATAACTTGACAATCAATAAGATCGAAGGTCAGGACAACGGAACAGAAGTCCCCAATTATTAAAGTCCCACCAAGACAATACAAATACAGACGTACATAAAAACTATTTACAACAGTAAAAATTAATCTCGATTGAAGAATGTTCGAATGGTTAATCTATTGAAACTCAGTTTGTGACGAATTTATATGAAAAGAAAAATGTATCAAGAGTTATAACGAAAACTGAGCATATTAAGCATATAACAGATTAATCCATGCCATCGATCATGCTACGAGCACCTAGGTATTACGAGCAGCAGTTTATTTGCAGTGATCTACTATTACTGCATAGTGTTTTCCAAGTTCTACACCTATCTGCATCAAATACTGTAATCAGTTTATTAAAGTAATATTCATATAGTTTAGCTTTAAGGACGTATACGGAAGAAGAAGATTTAATATCACTTAGGCAAGCTGTTCCATAGATACACAATTCTATTGAAGTACGAGTTCCTGAAGAGAGTAGTTCTACATAGATTTGGACGAAGAAAGTCACCAGTACTGGAACGGGTCGACCGATGACAAGGTCTTTCGATGTACTTATCAATGTAAAATCGGGCATATTGGTCACAAGGTTGAAATTATTCGAAGAGTGATCTGCATTTTCCACGGTTTTTACCGGAGTGTGGAAGGGCTACGTGTGTTTATTAATGGTCCAGCTAGTGGCTTGTACGCTTTGATTTCTTTATAATCCTGCTCTTTCTGAAGCCCGATGCTTTTTGTATAAAGCGAAATACTTGTGACTGGGTATTCCTATATGGTCCCCTTTTCTATTTTTTTATTTTCTGTATTTTCTTCAGAAAATTCACTAGCATTCTGCAAAATAAATCCAGACTCGAGGCACTGAAATGGTCGAGAACCAGCCATTTTGCTTCTGGTGGCGGTTTTTGCTCGTTGAAGACTGGAAAGCAGCAACGCGGTTGGGAAATGAGTTTTAATGGAACCTAAAAATTTCGAAACTTCCGGGATTTCCAATTTGTGGACAACCTCGAGAGATTGTCCGAAATCGTCAGAAACATCATTCCAGAAATTAGCGCGTTACATTTGACTTTTAAGCAAGATTTTCCGAATTTCTGTCAAATGGAAAGCGCCCTAGGTCATAGAATAAAGATCCATATAGAAGGGCCACTTACGTCGGAAGCCATAAGTTCTGTCCTTGCGCATTTCGCATTACGCATGTTGGCCGCCATTTTCCTAGCCAGTCGATGACATTTTTCTGGCCAATAAACGCGCTGTACTGGCTGGCTGCTCCGCCTTCTGGCCAGTAAACTGCATATTTTTGCATAAAAAAGTGCGGACATGTTGCACCGCTGAGTGGCCCTTCTGTTACTGATCTTTATTCTGTGCCTAGGTTGCCTTATACCCAGAATGGATCAGTTTCCTGTGAAGGTTTTCAGTTCTTCAAGGCCTTTGGAAAAGCCGCAAAAATTTGATATTTTATAATTATTAAAGAGCGCCTTCAAGGCAATTTATAGGCAATTGTTGTGTGCTTTTTGAATTTGCCTTTTATTGAAGATAAAATGATGCAATTATTACGGGAGGGATAATGTGACAAACATTCTAATCTAGTAGTCTTGATAACTTTTTTCATATCTATATTTAAAATATCTGCCATCCCCATTGGAATATAACTGAAATATTTTTGATAAAATCTAAAATATATAGTGTAAAAGATAACATTTGATCGAGTCTGCGCATGCGCAATCTCGTTCCCCGAACATGCCCGTTCGCTTCGCACGTTATTGGTGCACGGGAATGATGTCAAACGGGAATGAAAATTGAAATTGTCAACATATTTACATGGGACCGGTCGAAAATCACAAAATTTTCAATGTATTCCCTTTGCCAAGCAATTACATAGCTTTTGATAGCATATATGTGTTGTTCCAATGTCAAGGTTGCAGCCGCGACCGGTCGACCGGTCTGAATTAATTTCTCATCAAGTTCGCAATACTATTACAGGTAAGGTTGACGCATGCGCAGACGTTTTTCCGCGGTGTCTGAAATGTATTTGTGTTTACATTCATCCTTGTCTGAATTCAAGCCGGACTGAAGTCAGTCGGTTCGGTCCAGCAGGCGGAATGACTTGATCCATCTATTATAAATAATACTGTGATCGAAACGAAATGGCCTGATGTGACTTCGTTCTGGCACAGAATAGAAAATAGACCAGAAGTCTCACTGTACACCTTTCCTTAAGCTACGTCACATGCTGCGATTTGTTGGGCCGATTTTGGTAAATAATCGATGCCCCTTCTTTGACATTTTGCGATTTAAACGTTCAATTGAAGCTGTCCGCTCTCTCGTCTGTTCATATTATAGTTTTCTGCGTGCGAAAAGTTTTCAACAACTTTACAACGGAAGAAAAATCGTTGAATCGTGAGAAAAATCTGTGTTAGTGTTACAGATTTTTCTCCCGATTTTGTGAATCGCAACGTGCTGACGCGAATACTGACGACAGGTTGTTTACATACAGCGAGCAAAATCGGCCCGACAAATCGCAGCGTGTGAACGTACCTTTAACATTTTCGTGTCCGCGATTTTTGCCTTGCGGATCACGAATTTCGCACGCTAGATGTGACGTTTCAGTTAGTTAGTTAGTTTGTCAGTTAGTTATTCACTTATAATATTTGATGGTATTGTAGGCAAATGGGCCATTCCTCAATTAACCAAAATTTTTATCTCAACAAATCTGGACAAAAATTCATCATAGCATGAAAGAGCACCACATAGCTTTGCGAAGTTTGTAATTTTCAGTCATTTTGTATTACGCACAGAAGTGGTAACCATTTCCCGTTTATAATCTAAAACTAGGGTACCTGCAAGGTAGGGATTTCTGCGGGCATTACAAGCAAATAGAACTACAGTAAAGAGCACAGATTATATCAAGCACAGTGATTACTCGCAGCGACTAGTGAGCTGTGAATGGAACTGAAAAGAATTATATATATATATATATATATATACGAGTAGGTTTGTGTATACGAAACGCAAAGAGTGCTCAATATCATAAAGATAGAGCAAATGTAGAATTTCGCTTACCTCAAAATTCCGCAACAGTCTGTTTCATCAGTAAAGAATGATTCTTTACTGATGAAACAGACTGTTGCGGAATTTTGAGGTAAGCGAAATTCTATATATATATATATATATATATATATATATATATATATATATATATATATATATATATATATATATATATATATATATATATATATATATATATATATATATATATATATATATTGAAGTAGCAAAGACCAGGGGTTAAAGGGCAATCAGAGGTGACAGATATTTTAATATCTAATGCTTAATATATATGTTTAAAAACATGTGCGTCTCATTGACATACAGGTAAATTAAGATCAGATTTCATATCAAGTCTGTTTACTGCTAGGCGCATTTGCCACATTATATAGACTATATACACAGATTTATCACACTAAGAAATCAAAACTTTATAAAAAATATAGAACTGACAGTGGCCAAAGTCCAATACAAATGTAAGCGTAACAAAATTTCTGTGATGAAATTTTTGTCTAGACTTGTTGAGTTCAAAATTTTGGGGAATGGTCCATTGACGGGGGGAAATGTATGCACACACAGACCTAACGAGAAACAGAAGCGATAGCTGCAACTTTAGTTTAAGTCCCTGGCAGAAATTGAACCCGTGCCCCTGCGATTCCAGTGCAGCGCAATGCGGCGCTCTAACCAACAGATGCCAACTTTAGGAAACTTCGACTACAAAAACTCTATACGCAGAATGGTCTCAGTTTTTTGTATGGTTTCAGTTTTTCAAGGCCTTTGTGAAGGCCAGTGAAGGCCGCAAAAATTCTACAATTTTGAATTTTGAATTTTGGACAAACTCGTGTCCGTCGTGTGTCACGGGAACAAGTAATGAGGTTTGAATTTGCGTTTTATTGAAGATAAATTGGTGTAATTATTACGGGAGTGGTGATGTGCAAACATTCTAACCTAATCTACTAATCTTGATATTAATTTTTTTTCAGATCTAATATTTAAAATATCTCTTCCATCCGTATTAATGCAATTGAAATATTTTTAATAAAAAATATATTGTGTCAAAGATAACGTTTGGTCGAGTCTGAGCATGCGTCGAAAATACTTTTTGTGGGGTGCACAAACTGAAATCCGGTATTATTTTAGTTAACAATAAGGTTTGTTTTACGGTTGGATTAGGGTGCATGTTATTAGGATTGATCAGTTAGCTAGTTAACCAGTTAGTTATTCACTAATTTTTTCGGTTACCCAGTTCAGTGATCAGAAAGTTAGTTAGCCTTTCTCACGAGGGCCAAAATCCGCGATTTTGGGGGGTACTGTCTACTCTCGTGAAAGATTCGAGACAACTCAATGTGAAAATTGAAAATAATTTACCATTACACAAAGAAAATCAAAGTTAAAGTTTATGTAAATCAAGGGAAATCTCTATCACATATAAAGATACGACACGCTTATGATTCTTCTTTGTGTATTTCTCGTGAATTATTAATGAAACGTCTTGATGAAAACATTCGTATTCTTCAACAATTTAAAATAAATGAATATGATTTTGCATCAGATGTACAAACTCCTAATTCATGCTCAGTCTGCTCACGATTTATTTTGTATTTTCTCCTGAACTATTAATGAGTTTCAGTAAATTTATTTTTGCATCTAGCTCACTGGTTCACTATCAGATGGCTTGTGGTCAGCCAGCTCAGATTCAAAGTCCTTGGAAAGTCGACGTGAAGCAATGAAGGCGGAACGTCAACATACATCAGAGTAGTGGAGATCACCTCGTGGCTGGGTTCAAAGGATTAGGAATGGGTCTAGTGGGAGGCCTAACTAGTATAGTCACTCAGCCCATTGAAGGAGCCAGGAAAAAAGGAGTCCCCATGAGTATTTTCCCCTTTGAGGGATTGCATTGTATTTCTGAAAAAAATATTTCAACAAAGCTATATTAAACGTCATGCGTTCCTCTTTTGAATTCCCAACTTGATTGCAATTTTCAGTACAAATTACCTTTGCAAATTTGAAAAACTCTCTTCCAAATAGGTAACTTGCATGTCAGACTAATTTTTATCTAGGCAAAAAGTAAATTCCCATATGAAAATTAGTAAAAATTGCAAAATTTGGCTCAAACGATTTTTATCGGCCGACTAAAATCGCATCGTGTGCGTCAGGTTTTAGCCTTTGTTGGAGCAACTTGTAGCAAGTCTGTTACTGTCATCAAGCAAGTCTGTTACTGTCATCAACCTTGTAAGAAGATTACAACAACTTGTTCCAGACTTGTCACAACAACTGGGAACAAGCACTGCGAACAGATCCTGATATCGGCGCGACAACAACCTTGTTACAACTTGTTTGCAGATCTATAACAACTTGCGTGTATTTACATGTGTACCAAGAAGATGTCGAGAATGTGTTTCACTGCTGCTGTATGATATGATTGTGCTTCTATTCCGGGTACTGACGTACAAAAAGGAATCAATATCCATTCGCAAGAAACAGAACGAAAACAGGAAGTAAAACACGCACTCGCATCAAGTTTCAGAATGATCCAAATTGCCTGAAAAGAACTTTTGCCACAATTTGTAGTAAAGACGATGATCTCTAATGAAGACAGTCGAGACAAACCTTGGTGCGAACTAAGAATTTTTCCTGGCATGCAATTATTTTCAAAAATTGTAGGCCATGCTAGTTTTGAAAATGATATTTCGTCGTATGCAATTTTGGACTGCCCTTTGGACTGTTTATTTTTGGTATTTATTTTGCTGCTCAACAATGAATTCCAGGTGTTTAAAACTCACTTAAAAGTTGGCCTACAAACTTCTCCGTAAAATTTTAGGCCACTAATTTTTTGCCCTACAAAACGGCTGTTTTGCATGACGATTTATCATTTGTGCCATGCTATACAGACGTAAAAATCTCACTACTTGTCAACAAGATGTGTTCGCAACAGGTTTGTAGCAAGTTGCTACAAGGTTGTCATCCACAACTTGTTGACAAGTTGCTGAATTGCAGGACGATAACAAGTTGTTGGTGCAACTCGTAACAAATCTGTTGAACTCAACAACCTTGTAGCAATCATGATTTTTTCTGTGTTGGTGTAATGTACTCAGGTAAATATGATGCTTGTGATGTTACTCTGAGTGTATATTCACACCGGGCAAGCTTGAAAAATTTGCCTGACCACGGTGGGAATGGAACCTACGACCTTTGGAATATTAGATAACATTGATATCAAAGGAACTAGATTCTGTTCCGAAATATCACATACTCGAACCGACCAGACCGCGTAGCTCAGTTGGCAGAGCATTGGGCTAGTATTCCAAAGGTCGTAGGTTCGATTCCCACCGTGGTCAGGCAAATTTTGCAAGCTTGCCCGGTGTGGATAAACACTCAGAGTAACATCACAAGCAATCTTGTAGCAAGTTGTCAACAAGCTGGGAACTGGAACAGTATTGCTACAAGTCTGTTGCAGATGTAGGATGCTGTAGGATCGAGTTAGTTTGTCTTGAAAGATACAATTTGTTCCAAGAACCTGTGCCAGTATAGATGGCTGTAGTTTGTCCAGATAGTTTGTCTTGACGGATCAATCGGATGAAGTAAAAGTCGGGCCAATGGCACTAATTTGCCTGAAATGAAATTGCACATATTTATTGATTCGCACAAGAGGAAATAATTGACATAGTTATAAATGTTTTAGTTTACGCAAGTTACACCAGTTTAATTAATTAAAATCGTACAATTTATAATATAAAAATATTAACAGTTTATTAAATCGCAAATGTTGTTATGCGAATGAAAAAAATATATTTAAATCAATAGTGTTTTGTTGTCTTGTTAATGTAAATATGTAATTCATTTTGCGTTGAATTTCTGCTTTATTAATCATCATCCATCTGACCAAGCTTGAAGAAGATCTAGGTCACAAGGTTGAAAGTATTCGAAGAGTGGTCTGCATTTTCCGCGGTTTTTACGGATTGTGTGTGTTGGGGAGGGGGTATAGGGCAGCTACATGTGTTTGATGGGTCCAGTGGCTTGTACATTTTCATTTCTCTAATCCTGCTCTTTCTGAAGCCCGATGCCTTTTGTATAAAGAAAAATACTTGTGACTGGGCAGGTCTGTTCCTGGTCGGTCCCTTTTTCTATTTTTTTTATTTTCTGTATTTCCTTCTGAAAAATCGGAAGAAAACTCTGTTTCGCACTATGATCACTCCAGTTAACGCACTTGAGATCAGCAGGATTCATTGAAGTAAAGTAACATGAAGTACAGTGAAGATTACAGTAAGAGACGTGGCGTCCCCCACCGTAAAATATAAAAAAATCATTAATTACAGGGGGGAAGGATGCTCAAAGCGATTACACAACATGTGTGACAACGTGGTTTAAAACAAACTTCTGTGTTTTTATGAAATCAAAGTGCTTTTAGTTGAAGATCAAAACAGATTTTAACATGGGAAGAAAGAGGGAACTCACTGAGCTTGGAAAACGTGGTCCTGGCAAAAAAGCAAGAATACAACCCCCGCCAGAAATATTTAGTGAAGGTATCTGATCGAATTCTTAAATTTTGTCTCATTTTGTCTCAATTAAAATTAGAACTAGATTAGATCGTCATTCTTAAATATGTCTTAAATGAGTAATTCAATCGTGATCTTTTAATCTTTTATATACACATATAGAATGTGTCAAGTACAGAGTACAGACCCCCCAAACTTGCCTTGTTCATGTTTTCTTGGTCAAATAGAACTTCCCATTTACCACTGTATAGATTGCCATGGATAAACAAAAGAGGATTTAGGGCCATTCCATTTAATAATGTACACACCCTCCTATGGACGAGGTCAATAAAATTTGAACCCCAAAGAAAAAAAGATCAAAGTACTGACACAAACACCCCCAGAAACTAATAAATTTTTGCTTTACCCCTCTGAAAAAATGCAAAGATCAAAGGATGCCTATGCACACAACCCCTCAATTTGCCTTAGTAGAATGAATGGTAAGGGGGGGAGGGGGTATTGATCACATTTCTCAAAAAATAAAATCGAGGTTGGAAAAAAAAATCACATTATGGTATTTTTTTTCACTATCAAAAATCTACGGTTTCACATACCGCTATTAATTGACCCATTAAGTGGCATTGTGTCCTTAATTCATGAGTCGTACTTTATTATTTTACTCTGTCTAATGCCATAATATTTTACTCTAGCGAGGTTCACACTTCACTACCTCTCACTGGCTTAGTACAAATCTGATTGGTTAATGGGATATGCCAAGTGAATCTAATTGGTTAATGGTCCCTTAATGGTTAGGGGCGGACCATTAGAAAAGTGATGGGGGGACAAAAATAGAAAGAAAAAAAAATTTGTGCACCAGAAATGTCTGAAAAAAAGAAATTGTGCAGAGACTTTTCAATAGGGAAAATTACAGGGCCTATCGGAGGTACAGTGTAAGGGTGTCCCCGAAATTTCGAAAATAATTGTTTTAATCGTGTTTTAATTAAGAAGTTTGTTCGGGGAAAATGTGTTTTAAACCTTAATTGAAATGATGTTAGTCTGAAAAAAATTTTTTGAACCCTATTTTTCTTTGTCCTGCAAAAATTTTTCACCCCCCCCCCCTGCTCACCAGCAATTTTTGGGGGGAAAATAAAATTAGAGCAAGGGATTATTAAAAAAAATAAATAACCGACACAGCAAAATATTTTGAAAGAACAATTGTGCACATTGAAAATGGACCACCCCCATCACTTTTCTAATGGTCCGCCCCTTAGTGGTAGCGTGGTAGTGGAAATCAAATCTGAACCTCTCTATGTCTAACACCAAACAATTTGCTCATCAAGGGGAGACCACTGGTGTTTAATAGGTTAAACACAGGAAATGTATAGTTTCAAACAATTCTCATAAGAAATTCTTCTGAGATAATGGTTGTCCCTCAGAATGTTGGTTGGAAAGTACATCTTTAGAAATATGAGATTGGAGACCCTTGGACATTGATAATGATGGGTTAACTGAATGACTTTTCTCTGTAGGAAAAGCAGGTCAAACTAAAAAGAAGAAGAAGAAGACTGTAGTTAAGAAAAAGTAAAATCTAAATTAACTAATTTTTCATAAATTGTGGGCAATTAATAGACTACATAAATAATTATGTATTAACCTTTTATGCTTAACTTTTTAACCAGAAAACAGGATGGGGAAAAGAAGATTACAGCAGAGAAAAAGATTAATCTATTCGAAGACAGCAGTGGTAAAATTACTTTATAATATGTATAACTGTATATAATTATTAACCCATAAAGTTGTATAATTGTACCCTACCTTATCATTGGGTTGTTCCAGAAAAGATCCATTATATACTCCCCCGGTGCCCCCACAGAGGAAATTTCTGACGATTTTACTCGTCAAGGTCAGAGTGCTGGTGCTCAGTGGATTAATAATACCAGTTAATCAGTATCAGTTTTGAAAATTTGATGAGCACAACCAAAGAAGTATGTCAATTCTGATGTATCCAATTTTCAATTTTTACAGAGGATGATGGGATTGGTATGGTTGATGATGATTTTTTAAATGTAACAGAAGACGCACCACAAGAAATGGTAATATACTATATAATACAATACGGTATACCGGTACAGTGTACAGTAAACTTTGCCACTTTCTAACTTTACCATAATTATGATATACTGTATGTACTGTACACAACCTTGGTAGAAATATTGAAAATTATCTTATCCAACCCTAAATTAGATCCCTGACTTATATTGTTTGAGATCTAGAATAAGACCTTAGTAAGACCGTAATGATCCCATCAAGTTCATTGTAAGATCTTACAAGATTCTGTCAAGATGTAAATAAGATCTTATGAACAAAATTCTTAGTAAAATCTAGCTTGCAGTCTGCCAGTCTAGTTCTTCCAAACTTTTTCCTTTGTTTCCGAATAATGAAATTGTGTATGAAAAGATGAAATCAATGCTTATAACACATGCAAGGCCGGACAGGGGCGGATTTAGGGGTCGTCAAACCAGTCACGCGACTAACATAAAAACTGCAAACTTAACTAAAATCTTAAATATTCGACCAATAGTCCAGTTATTTTTTTATCATGCAGCGACATCTTATAATAGTCCAGTATCTATTATCATGCAGCGCTAGCAATTAACATTCCAATCGAACTGTAGTCCAGTGATCAAATTTCATACAGTGGTTGAGCCGACGAGCTTAGTGAAGTCAATGAACAGCTGACATACGCAAAGTCGGTCAGTCAAAATCCAGTGTTTTGATTGGTCTAGATGCTTATTGCCATGGTAACAAGCGATTTTTTTCGATTATGACTGATCTGTGGGGAGTTCTGACCGATTTACAAAAGTCAGGGGCGCTCCATTAGTCGGAATATCATTAATATTTGACGCGTGGTAAAGTCTTTCCGAGCGCGCACTCATTCGAAGTGTCATGTTGTAGCTTAGTCGGAAGATTCGATTTAAAGATATCTACGGAAAATTCGGAAATGTCTGCTGCTCCAGACTCCAGTCCTTGTAGTATTCACGAAACGGTTCAATCCGCATTTGCAGTGAATGATTTAGCTATCTTACAAGACTGTTGCGCTGATCTTGGGAGGAAAATCAACGCTAAATATCGGAGAGTTCCATTCAGTGAGCAGTTGCTAAGCGGCGTATAAGCGCCACGAATAGCACGAACTACAGTTTGACTGTTTGAGTAGAAGTATTGGCGCCGAGATCTTTATTCTGAAGTGCAATAAGGTAAATTAAATGTGATATGTAAATTTTATTTCGTTTTAGATAGCATAACAATATTTATAAGCGAACAAGATGCGCGCCAATGCGCCATGCATATGTAAAATTGTAACTTGAATACGCGTATTTTGATTTAGATTTAGCTATGAATTTTGATTTACACAACAAATTGCATATTTGTAATTCTGCGGTTGAAGATCCGTCAGAACTCACAAGGCTATTAATATGGAGGATAACCTATATAAATGCATTAACGCAGTGTACATAGGATATAAAGGTCAGGTTTTATAGATGAATGTTAAGACTTTAATATTGATATATGTTTATTTGAGTAATATGACACTGTATAGTGATTACTAGTCAAGTGATCAATGACTCAACAAGGCTATTAGGCAACAAAAATGAGTGCAGTGCTATCATGAGATCACTGATATATATCAGTGCATGAGATAGTTAAACATAATACTAGCAATCCGTAATTTGTTAAAATGAAACATCTTCCACAATTATTACATTTCTGCAAGTACTTCTCCTTTACTTTTCCCTAAGGAGCGAGTTGTGAGAGGAGCGAGTTGTGAGAGTCAGTCAGACTGATAGTTGCTATAATTATCTCCCATTTCATGAAGTTAATTGTTGAAGCTGCTTTCAGAGTGATGCAAATTGCGTTTCGGAGGTTTAAAAATATAAAAATTCCTGGGGGACAGACCCCCCTAGGTGCCTCGCGCATTCGCCGCCCGCAAAACTAGATTGTACATCCGAAAACTTTGACTAACGTACGAAAAATCCTGGATCCGTCCCTGAGGCCGGAGGCAGACTATGGTGTAAATGCTGAGGGAGGTGGAAAAAATTCACGGGGGTGCAGCAATCTGGGTCCCACCCTCAATGGGACGTTAGGGTTTGGCCTTTCTGAAGGGCGAGTTGCATGACTTTCAGGGCAGGAACAAAGTAACTTGGGAGAGATGATTCTATGTTAGAAGCTGGTAACAAGCATTTTCTTATAGTTTAAGCCTTGGTGAACAAGACTGTGTGTGTTACCACTTCTGATTTTTGCTTTATAGCCAAAAATTTGAGAATTTTTAAATTTTGCCTATTAAATTACTATGATCGGAAAAATGTAAAATTTCATGTTCTCTTATACGAAAAATAAACTATACCACTAGAAAGAGCGTAAAAAACTGTATATAAGACAATTAAGTGAGTTCTACGTTTTTCCAATCCTATTTCGAGTTTTTAATGTTAAAAAATGCAGAAATGACCAAATTAATGCTAATTAGTACCCATTTTGCCAACTTTAACCATCTTTAATTCAAAATCGGCTTGAAAATCGCACTAGTCGCTTAAGTTATCTTATATATAGTTTTTTACGCTCTTTCTAGTGGTATAGTTTATTTTTCGTATAAGAGAACACGAAATTTTACATTTTTTCCAATCATAGTAATTTAATAGGCAAAATTTTAAAATTCTCAAATTTTTGGCTATAAAGCAAAAATCAGAAGTGGTAACACACACAGTCTTATTCACCAAGGCTTGAACTATAAGAAAATGCCTGTTACCAGCTTCTAACATAAAGTTGCCATCAAACTCTCTTTAGAGGCACTTTTTGCCACCTTGGCCGGCCGACTACATATCTCCCCTCAAAATCTTGGCTTGAACATGTGTGCATTCACATGTGTGAATATTTTGTCTAGCCTGCAGATGACTATGGTTTAGAATTTAACAGTGATTCATCATCAGAAGATGAAGATGAAGGCGATGATGAAAATGAGAATAATAACAAGGTTCTTTCATGATTTGTTTCATGTTACTGTACATTAAAGTAGAAGTCATGTACAAGTCTAGTGAGTTTAGAAATTGTAATTGAAATGACTGTAACATGTATGATGAATGCTTGCAGTTATTGGCTATTGAGAAAAAGTCAAAGAAGTTGGATAAAAAGCTCCGTGAAGACAGGTAGGCAAAAAATCAGCGCATGCTTACATTGGTGTCTCCAGCTTGTGATAGAGTCTGAAACAATTTAACTAGGTTCTGTGCAAGGGTGGGTAGTAGCGAAGTAGTTGTAGTTCGCTACTGCAGCGAACTACAATCTTCAAGTGGCCAGTAGTTTTTGACTACTTTTTTAAAACAGTAGTTGTAATTTAATAGCGAACTACATTTTGCCTAAAAGTAGCCAAGTAGACTGACTACTTTTCAAACAGCGAATCGCTATTCGCTACTTTTTAAAATTGTTAGCAACCGTTCGTAGAATATAATGATATTAAGACACGGTTTGCTTAAAAGATTATTTTATACAGACTGAGTAAAGATTGTTTTAGCGCATTGAAAAGTGGCACTCCTGAACACTGTATAGTGCTTACAAAAATGTTGCTTTGACCCTTTTGTTTACTGTTGCTACTCGTAATTCGATTTGTTATAGGTTGTATTACAGCCTGAGCCGAAATACTGTAAAACTAAAAAATATAGAGTAGCGAAATAGCGAAATAGTTTGCTACATTTTTTAAGCAGTAGCTGTAGTCAGTAGCGAACTACTTTTGTTCAAAAGTAGCAGTAGTTGTAGCTGACTACATATTTTTGAAGTAGCTGTAGTTATAGCGAACTACAAAAAATTTGTAGTCAACCCACCCTTGGTTCTGTGTTCTTGCAAAGCATGATTTGGTGCTACCTTGATCATGCATGCATTTTTTTTCTGAAAGCAGGAAAGTTAAATATAGCTGACACCATATTGTTTATAAAGATAACTATTTGGATACAAATAAAGCTGCCCCAAGTACGAATGGACCCAGAGTTTATTCCCATTTTCTGAACAGATTGCTAACAAACTCACCATTTCGACTTACGACCCATCAATATAACGACTAATAACTCATTATATTGATGATGATAACTCGTCATTATGACAGTCATACTGTATAACTTGTCAGTGTTACTTATAACTCATCATTACGACTTATTTATATATCGTCATCGCAACTTCTAACTCTGCAGTTGTCATTACCACTTACAACACAGGACAAAATTTAAATTTCAATTATTACCATTAATAATTGGTAACAATTGAATGGTTTTGAAAGATTTACCATGTATACACTCACTATACAGTGTAAATCAATGTAAAAACTGAACTTTTACCATTGATGGTTAAATATTATACATGTATATCAGTTTCCCACATGGTAATTGGTAAAAACCGTGATGTTTAGTATTTACCATTAATGGTATTTTTCTGTGTACAGGGAAAATATAAGGTAACATTAATGGTGAATAATTATTAAACATAGTTTTTCTCTGTATAGAGTACTAGCTGAAGAAGAACTTCAAATAAACATTGCTGAAAAAGATGTTTTTACTTTGCCCAGTGGACAAGAAATAGAAAAAGAATATATCCTTTTTGCCCATTGCTTTGCGCCGAAAAAGTGTGCTAAAAGACGAAACGGAGTGTTTAGCACGCACGCCAAAAAATGTCGAAATCCTCCTTGTAAGCAGAGAGCCAGAGAACAATAGAAATAGCGTCATTTGAACAATAGTCGTGCGAGAAAACTACCCCCTTCCCCTTAGTAATAGTTGCCCCCAAGGTTCCCCATTTGAAATTACTGTCGTTAGCGACTATTTCTTCTCAAATTAAATAGCATTCAAGAAATTCAACACAAAAGTTACATTAATATATAGATGTTTATTTCTGTGGTTTCAAATTTTAAGACAAAGATACGTTCACTTGCTGGTTTCTCTTGTGAACTATGCATTAGCCTAATAACTTTAAAGTGCCTATGACACGAAATTTCACCCCAAATGTTTATGATTGCATTGTAAAGATCACTTAAAATAACTTAATAATTTCTTTTATAGAATTTTGATAACTTGCTTCCTTTGCAAGATATTCAACTTTGTTTCGTATGCAAATATCACCGGTGTGACATCACATAGCATAATGAGATTTTGAAAACGCAATATTTTACCTTGATAAAATATTTTTACAAACAAATACAGAGGGTTAGTGACCAGTTATGAAACAAATACATATACAAGGGCAATTTTAAAGTTTTTTAGATACGTATTCGTCAAGAAAACTATACTTTTCTGAAAACTCATTGTGTGATGTGATGTCACACCGGTGATATTTGCATACGAAACAAAGTTGAATATCTTGAAAAGGAAGCAAGTTATCAAAATTCTATAAAAGAAGTTATTAAGTCATTTTAAGTGATCTTTACAATGCAACCATAAACCTTTGGGGTGAAATTTCGTGTCATAGGCACTTTAATGAATCAATTATATTAATCCTTGACATCTATTTACTGCTGGAACCTCCAGATTTAACTCTGATCCATCAGAGAATCTGTGAAAACATCAGCGCGTTGAACAACTTCAAGAAATACAGAGAACCCGGGAAGTACGTAGAATTACAATACATTGTCATTGTCCATTGAGGCGAATTACGCCCCAAATGCGCCCTACTTTATTATTTTACTTTGTTTAACGCCAGATTATTTTACTCTGTCGAACGCCAGACGATTTACTCGTCAAGAGGAGAGAGCTATCGGGCCTGTCGCTCAATGGGTTAAACATAAATGATAGATATAGCATGCGTACTTGATTACGAATCATGTATCCACTTTTTCTCATGTCCTTATAAATCCGCCATTTTGTGGAGACAATTTTTTTTTACTGAGAGAAGATAGGAGTCTGACGCATTCTATATCTATTATTTCTATGATTAAACAACATGCATGCATGCTTAGCCGTTTACAGGTTTACTGCATTGCAACTGAATGCCCTTGTATCAAAAGACGTCTTAGACGTGTGGATGAATTAAATTTTTGAATTGAGCTCTTGAGTCTTTAGTGCGAATACTAATATAAATACGGGCAAGCGGAACAGTTGAATATAACAGTAATAATGAAACCACAAAAAATTGCTTTCGACAGCACTGTATCCAGACGAACGACCCAAAGGATCATTCATCAGGATGAGTTACACCCAGTTGCTTCTACATGTATAGATACTAATGGACGGATAAAGCCCTTTGCATGCATGCATGTGTGCCGCATTCTCACATATGAAGACGAAATATCAGACGAACCCTCTTTGTTGACCAGTTTTGCCCAGACAGATCCCGACGCTGATTCTGTGATTTTATATTTCATGTGTAGAAGTCGTAAAGAGTACCTTGAACTGCTGAGAAATGATCTGATGAATTACTACAGTTACAGCGAGTTCATGATCAACAAACTAATGGATATGTTCCCACTATCAGAGGTATCAGTGCTTTTAAACCAAATGGCGCTATCTACATATTCTATGTCTTCTGTGGTAAACTGTTCTTTCTATGGACATCTAGTAAGGGCCTTTCCTTTCTATTTGATAAAGCCAAACTGGTAGTACTTCTACATGTCATTGTGTACTTTCCATTTAATGACCAGACCAGTCCGACTGGAATTTCTGTTTCTGCATCTATTAAGTAATATTTCCAATCCAACTATGCCAGAGCACTGGACTAGATTTCATATCCGCGCAATTGGATCAAAATGCGAGAACTTCAAATCTAGTCCAGTCCCAAATTGGAGGATTTAAAATGGCATCTCATACGTAATCACAACTTAAAGTGAGGTGAATTCAATCAGATCCAGTCCAAGGGCTGAATTAATTTTGATCTCGTCCTAGCACTGGATCAATTTTCTTCACCAGGTATTATCATATTCATGAGCAAAATTAAACCAATGTGTTTGGTTAATTTACTCATGAACTATTAATGAGTTTGAGATTGGAAGATCTTGTTCCTCGAACATCTAACGATGGATGGACTCCCTTCTAATTTGATCCAAATTTCCATTCAGGTCCAAACGTTTTGCTTTCCATTCAGAAATGTCAGTCTGGCCAGTCTGGCCGTGTTGATGGAAGCGCCAATTGGCGCGAGATTATAATCAAGAAACTAATATTGTAACAGTAGTTTTGTGACGCTAAACTTTTCCTTTTTAAAGCTTTTAGAGTTCCTTGAAGCGAATGAAGTCCACCGACCAGTCACAATTCGAACGAATACTCTGAAATGTCGCAGGAGAGACTTAGCACAGGTTGAGTACAGGAACTGCCCTAGGCTCCATATTCTTCTTGGGCCGGTTGTAGAAAAGCTGGATAGTCTATTCAACTTTTCCAAAATTGTTTCGTTGGGTGGTATAACCCTGATTATAATAACTTGAGCGGGCGTTGTGCCGTATTTTGCGGGCCAGAATGAACAAATTAAGGGGAGAAACTACATTTTAACTCGCTGAATTTTAAATTGTTTACGTCCAGCGGCAGTCGTTTGTAGCAATGGCTTAAGCTGTCTCTGGGCAAATACGAAAAGAGAAGATATATCTATTTTCGAAAAGGAAAAAGTAGAAGAAATGTAATGTATCTTTATAGCAAAAAACCTCATCGTGATCAACTTTTTCACTGTCAAAGTTTCCGGATATGATGTCTTTATGTGAATTTTTGGTACAAAAAACAAAGGAAAACGAATTTACAATTCACCTAATGACATCATATCCGGAAACTTTGACAGTGAAAAAGTTGACCAAGATGAGATTTTTTATTATAAAGATATATGACATTTCTCCTTCGAATGACCCAAATATTACACATACCAAAAATCATATTAGTGATTAGTCGCACTTTAAATATGCAAAAAGACGTAGAAGTTAGGACATGCAACATTGAATAGACAAAGTGAAAGCTTGTTTGTCTTGTTTATAGGCGTTAATAAATCGTGGAATGAACCTCGATCCTGTTGGAAAATGGTCCAAAGTTGGTTTGGTTGTTTACGATTCATCCGTTCCTGTTGGTATGTCAGCCGTGGAAATTGAATAATACTTTTTTCTGTATCTCAACGATTGTGTCACTATAAAGAACAATAGACCTTATGCATAATGACGTCACAAGGCTTGATGCCCGCGAGGAATGCTGGTCTTAGTATAGTCATCGCCCGGGAAAATTGAACAATTAAAAATGGCCACTATCGAAATTTACCCAGGCGATGACTACTAAGACCAGCATTCCTCGCGGGCATCAAGCCTTGTGACGTCATTATGCATAAGGTCTATTGTCAGCTGGTTTTACATAGGCAGAATGAAATATTAAGAAATAATGTGTAGGGCCTACATGTAATGAACACAACGTAAAATCGTTAGAAAATAGCTCAGTATTATTTGCCGAGGTTTTCAGCACATATAATTCTAATCGTTTTTATAATGTAAAAATTAGGTTTAATTTATTTTTCTGGAGAAGAAAAATCTGTTTTGTCTAAGAAACCAAATTGGTCGAAATTCTGCGGAAATTGGCTATAGATATAGCCATATAGTTCACGTTGCTGAAACTATAAATCTCTATTTCTGCCGTAGGGGCCACACCAGAATATTTGGCCGGCCACTACATGTTACAAGGAGCTTCGTCTCTCATGCCTGTAATGGCGCTGGCTCCTCAAGAAAATGAACGTATACTTGACATGTGTGCGGCTCCTGGAGGAAAAACAACTTATATGGGTGAGTGGAAGAATTATACACTTTTACTAAACTGTTATAGGCGAGTGCTCTACACTTACAACAGTTGAATGTTGGAAAAAACTCCACAAGAATCCAGTGCTTGTTTCTCGCGCGTGTCGTTAACGATTCGAACGACTGTTTTACAACTCGACAAATGAAAATGCCGATTCATACGAGTCGATAGCGTAGTTGATTTACGAGTTGCAAGTAGTCATTATTAAATTAGTTTGGTGTTAGGGTACAGTAGGTAAGACGAATCTACTTGTTGATTATTTTAAGTAAAATTATTTTTAAAGAACGAGGCACAATCGCACGAATCGACGAATGGATAAGTCGTTTCGAGGGTTAATGATAGAGTAAACGGACAGTATTCATGAGAAAGTATATATGGAACCGACAAGGTTATTTTACAGTTTGTGTCGATTCGACTGTATTGCATGGACATGTATAATACACTGTAGGTGGCCCTTACTGGATCCCTTGGAAAAGATTTTATTCTGAACTGACAGAGCTATCCAGATCTAGATAACGTAAGATTCTTTTTATTCCAGGTGCTTTAATGAAGAACTCAGGAGTTATAGTGGCGAATGATCAGAACAAAGACCGATTGAAAGCTTTAGTAGGAAATACACACCGGCTTGGTAAGACTGGATTTCTTTCTAAAACACAGTTTCATGATATTTTCATGATAAAAGAAGACAGATGGACTCTTGTAGTTTAAATGGTTTTAAATCTTTAGGAGTAAACAACACAATGATATGTAATTATGATGGACGAGCATTTCCTAAGGTGATGGGAGGTTTTGACCGAGTATTACTGGATGCCCCGTGTAGTGGTACTGGTGTTATATCCAAGGATAAATCTGTTAAAACCAACAAGGTATAAACAAAAACTACAGATTTGTTATGATGTTCCAATTTTGTGGGTTTAAATTCAGTAAGGTTACGGAAAAGCTGATGGAGTTAAACTTTAAAAATGTTGATACATCTAAGGAAGGGAACTTAAAGTATATTCATTAATTTTATTTAGTTGCCTCCATATACTGTACAAGATTATTACATATATAATGGCTTGTTTACACTTGCAATTTTGCTGCAATTTCTAATGCAATTTTCTTCTTCTGATACATGTGAACGAGTTGATGAGTTACGAATGTTCTGAGTATACGTGTCCCTCATCCGAATATTTATAACTTATCTACTCGTTCACCTCCATCAAAAGAAGAAAATCGCATCTGAAATTACCACAAGAATAGATAGATATGAATGAATAGATGAGGAGTATTTTGAAAAGATGAGCAGTACAGTATTTTGTCGTTGACTATACCTGTTTGTAACAATATGCAGCACAAATAGTGCTTATTAATATACAGTTGAAAATTTCAGCTTGAAATGTTGTTCTGTGCGGGGATTCGCTGGCGCATTTGTCAGAGCAAGCTCCTTTCACCTCTGAGGTCGTAGGTTCAATTCTTATTACGGACTCAAGATGCTCACATGAAAGGAGTCGATCTTTTTCTTGAAGCCAAATCTGACACCCAGCCAACGCTCTACCAAGAGTCGTGGATTTTCTTTTGGTACTCCGGTAGGGGTGCACCGGATTCCAAATCCGGCCTGAATTCCGGCCGGATTTAACGAATTTTCCGGCATCCGGCCGGATTTGGAGAAAATCCGGCCGGATTTAAATTTCTGTTTTCGCCTTAAACAATTCACCAAGAATGGGATAAACCATCAATTTGGCAGCTTTAAAGTTTAAAAAACACTTATATTATTATAAAATATTAAGTTATAAACAAAAAATATTTAAAAAAGGTTTAAACACAATCAAAAATCTAAACTGACGCTAACTAAAAATAGTAAAAAACGTAAACCGCCATTTTGAATACTGATTTAACCCCCAATTGTCCCCATTAACGGTGTATCTCAAATCCGGCCGGAATTCCGGCCGGAATTTTTGTCCAAATCCGGTAAATCCGGTTCCGGCCGGATTTGAAAATTCCAAATCCGGTGTACCCCTATACTCCGGTTTCCTCCCACAGGGAATGTTGACAGGGTGGGTTGGGTAATATCATATGGTAATATTAACACCTCCCTGACCCTTCCACCGTGGCTGTGCTCCGTGATTAGACATGAGTCATAAGATGGCTGCCAGAGGCGCCCTTAGTAAGCCTTCGACTCGATCAGGTTGAGTTGCGTCCTTTGCAATTCAGCTTAGCTCTGAGCTGCAAGTAAGGATGACCGCTCACACATACCCACTTACAGGCTCCTTACTTTTTCATTGTTAAGGATGAGAAAGATATACAGCGTTGTTCTCACCTGCAGAAAGAATTGCTGTTGGCTGCCATCGACTCTACTGATGCTCAATCATCTTCTGGCGGTTATATTACATACTCAACGTGTTCAATATTGGTACGATTGGGCAACTGTTTTCATACATATATTTTGATTTACACAACCCTTAACCAATCAGATGTGTTTAGTCTACCCCGATTAACCAATCAAATGCCTGTTAAACTGCACATTGGAAGTCAAATCAGAACTTCTCTAGTGAGCTTAAAACAGAGGCGACTATATCTTCAAATCTTGAATTTTCAGTTTTTGTGGGTTTTTTAAATCTCGTAGCCTTAGTTTGGAAGACGCTGTTATTCACAGTATTTCTTAAATTTCGCTTTGTTTCTTAAGATTGAGGAGAACGAGCGTGTCGTTGAATATGCGTTAAGTAAACGACATGTTAAGTTAGTCGACACTGGTTTGGAGATCGGAAATGAAGGATTAACGAAGTAAGTTCAAATATTGTAGCCTTTCATACAATCATACTTTCTAAGAGTTCATTCATTTTTGATTCTCCGAGCACTGGCTGTAATAACTGTATAACTAGTAGATAATTATTTCATAATAGTAAAACCATGCTTTTATTATTTCTAGATTTCGTGGTCATCATTTTCACAACACGATGAAGTTAACACGACGGTTCTATCCTCATGTCCACAACATGGACGGTTTCTTTGTTGCCAAGCTGAAGAAGTTTTCCAACAGTATTCCACAATCCTTATCAGGTCAGATTCATAAACATGAGTTGTCAACGTACGTCATGCAGTTCCTGGAATAAAAAGCATACTGCCATCGGTTCGCACCGCCAGTCGAAAAAATATGAGAATAGGACAACGATGTTTCGACAGCACGCAGGCTAATCTGCGTTTGCTCTTAACATCAGAATTCTCTCCTTATATTTTTCATATGATTGCTAAATGGCAGTTGTGAACCTAGAGGTTCAGTAAGGGACCGGTCATTATTTATGGCGGGGGGTGGCACCGAAGAGAAAAGGGTTGGGTAAACTAAATTTTGAGTAAGTAAAAGGTTGGGTAAATGAAAAACAAAACAACTCAAAGGTTGGGTAATAAAAATTTATTGTCATTTCCAAAGCATGACCCACTGAAATATTGGAGACTGAAAAGCAATGTCAACAGTCATTTCTCAATACAATATGTGAATCAATCAGAGTCACTATCTTGATCATTTTGACAAAACAAATTGTGTTTCCAAAGAAAGTACATGTGCAGACAACATGAAACTTTAGACTGCAGAATATTTCACAAGCCGTTATCAAACTCATGTCACTGAAGTGATAAAGGACATGTGTGACAACTGAATGGTATCCTTTTGTTATGTTTTTGGCCAGGGGTGGGTAATTATTTTTTGATTGATATTTGAGGTTGGGTAATCAAATTTTTGTCTTTTTAATGGTTGGGTCAGCAAATTTTTGACACGGAAAACATTTCTCTTCGGTGCCACCCCCCACCATAATAATGACCGGTCCCTAAGGATTCCCTAGAGGAATTATTTTTCAGGAAGGATTTTTCCTTTATTTCTCCAGTGTAAATTAGTCCATGAAGAGAAAATTGATCTAAAGTAACTTGATTTAAAGTAGATAATTTTATTAAGTTTTAAGGTCTAGCAAGTGTTATTGGTATATCATTAACCCTCGTTCTATGGCCATTGGCCTCGATTGATACTGTGTTTTTCACCTCAACCAAACATCACGAAAATTTAATCTCATATGAAGTGCATGATATGTGATATAAAGTGTAAAATATTATGTAATTTTATTTTCAAGCTCCTTTATAATGATACATGTTTTTTTAAATATTTTTCTTCTACAGAGTTAGTTACAAAGGAAGAGAAGAACACTGAAGAAAATGATGTCGCAAAAAATGAATCGACAGATAAACCGAAGAAGGACAAACGAAAAAAGAAAAAGGCAAAAGGAACATGAAACAAACTCGTTTTTTAAATTATTAATTGGTTGTACCTGATCAGATGTAACCCGTGTTTGTACCCATGTCCACCAAATTCACTCATATATATTGTGAAATACTTGATTATCTTTGTTCCATTCTATGCTTACAATAGGGAACGTCAGCAAGCAGGACGGTATTGGGGTCCTGAATGGGTAAAATGGGACTTGGATTACTGGGACTGAGAATAATTGAAAGAAAAGCAAGCAACTTTTGATTAAAAATTTGTCCAAAAAAGCCCAGGAAGATTGCAATCTGCCTTTCCCGATTCTACTGCTATTGCGAGTCTGTGGTTTACCTACACGGGGAGCTTGGTCCGTCATGTTAGTGTATTGGGGTAGCCAGCCCGAGTTTTTAGTCCTGCTATCCAAATTCAAAATTATTATGATTATTGATTTCTTTAGAAATTGATTGTTTTCACAGTCAATGAACACGAAAATACTTGCATAGGGGGACTCAATCGTCAGACTGGTTACGCTACTGTCAGTATTGAATGCTACAAAGTTTATTTAATGGCAGAAAATGACATGTATTTATAGACTTTGAAACCTTTACTCAGCCAAACTAGTTGTAAAGAGAGCAAATGAATATGCAGTATTGTGATTCGAAGTCAACACAGACGAGATACCTGCTCTGGGATTTTCTTTCAATTTAACATTTGAGACTGAGGTTTGGTTTAAAAATGGATAGGAAATGGGATTTAGAGAAAAAAACGGGCTGGGAAACGAGCATTAGACCCCTTCACCCACCCATCCTAACCCGCAGTAATTGGCGTTATGCTGTTGTGGGAACCCTGCCAGAATTTGTAATTTATGTTACGGCAAAGTTATTAAATTATAAATTATAACCCTTTTTCGCTAAAGGTCCCTTTTATCAGAACTGTGGCAGCTGTAATGTGCGCTATCTATATAATAATGCTTGGTTATCTTCAGGGACGCCGGAACGATCATAAGGCGAAGGGGGCGGACCCACACCAAGGGCACCTCTATAAAGCAAAACTTCAAAATCTTCCGGAAAATTTTGTTTAACTCGAAAATTTTCGGCGATCTCCCCCCCCCGTCGCCAAAAAAATTTCAGTCAGTGTACCATTTTATGGGTCAAAAATTTTTTCCGGACATACCAAAAGTCAAAAAGAAACTATCAATTGTCTGAATCTCATGATTTTCGTACAAAAATATCGTTGTAAATGTGATTTATCACGTAGTATTTTACAACTAAAAGGGCATTTCTGCCCCCCCCCTGCCCCCCCCTAGCAAAAGGCAAGGGGGGCAGCTGCTTCCTGCCCCCCCCCCCAGTTCCGGCGTCCCTGGTTATCTTAATTCCATTGTGTGCATTGCTTGCATAACATCAGAAAAGTGGTAACTAGGCATGCAAGCTTGTCAAGAATGAGTGAATGAGGCTGCTCCATTTACTGTTCGGAGTACTCTGGATTTTCGGAACACAAATTAAATCGAACCAATAATGGTCACATGACTGTTCTGACGGTCACATGACTGTTCTGGCTGCCCCTACTTTTGAGTAGGGGCAGTCAGAACAATCATGTGACCGTTTTCGGTCCGATTCATTGATTGCTTGTTGGTTTTCCGCCTTTTTTGTGCTAAAGCTGCTATGCTATTTAAACTATTTACTATTTGCTTAAAAAGTGCCCAAGTGCGCTCATTAAAAGGTTGTCATTTGTCAAACTTTACAAATACCAAATTAACATATAAAACATCAGTAGTGGCATTAATAATATTTTTTTACCAAAATGCCACAACTAATTTTATAGCACAAACAATCAGTCCAGTTTATTCTTCAGATCAGTGACTAAAATTTACATGAAGTATCTTCATAAATCCAACATGGAGGATTAGTTTTTTGTCGATTTTTCAAATTAGTGCGAAAGGAATTTAGCAAAAAAAAACCGTTTTCGCTCACACGAGTTTGCTAAAAACAACGTTAGCTTATGGCGTACAAAACTATAAACAGACGGCAAGCATGCGAGTACTTAAAAATGCTACAAACAGGTGGAAAAACGCCGATTAGTCTTGCAATGGAGCTTGCGACAAGGTTAGGGGCGGTTGCTGAATTTCAGGAATCAAAAGACTTAAAATGGTCGATGACCTCGTTTAAATTTTGCGTCAGACTTGGAGATATTGAAGCAATTGGTGTTGGAGGTAGCAAGAAAGAAGCAAAGCAAAATGCGGCTAAGGAATTGATAAAGTTGATCGAAAATGAAAGTGGAACTGTATCACCAAACTCGCCTTCCAGATCGCCGGCGTATGAGCCAAGAGATGAGAGTTATTCATCTTTTCAATCACCGGTACGTTGACGAGATTTATAGGTGAAAACTGACAAGAGTGCAGTAAGAACGTAATTGAGCTGTATAAATGCCTTCAATTTTTTACACCTATCAATGTTAACCCCCAGAGGGGGGGGGGGGGG